AATGCTGAAATTGAGTATCGAAAGTCAGTCGAACCGATTTCGGGGAAAGCGGAGAAGTTAGTCGTGAGAAGAGGATCCATGGTGATGGCAGTCCGAGTCGGTGGAACGTGAAAAGACGTGGAAGACGGAGAAGCACGACGACAGTGGAGGATTTCGACTCCACCATGCCACTTCCAATCTCGCTCGCTCCTGCACACACTCAGCTAGAATTTTCTCGCGGAAAAGACGGGAGACAAAAGAAGAATGTTTTTCCCGTTCTCACTCGAACGCTTCCTTTCCTCTGCCATCATGATACACGCGCTGGTCTCGCCTGAAAGAAGTTCAGCGACGCGAAAACATATCCACCCATTACCATAAGAGTCTCTTGTGAATTTTTCATCGATGGATCTCATGAATAAAAAATGTCTATGGGTTCAGGAACGCATTTAGTTCACTCTGGGATTTAAGAGTGAATCTAATCACCCTACCATTCCAAAATCGTGTCCAACAACGCAGTCGTTTTTTCGAGTTTGGAGGAATAATTGCCTTCCGATTATATAATGGTATATAATATTCGTAGAAATCTCTTCCAGCAATCAGTGATTTGCAATGCGAATGCAGGCCTTTACTGGGGTATAAATTTTTATGCAAGGGACGCACATTTTCCGGAAGTCCGAGAGAAAAAGAAACGAGTATTGAGCCCTGTTGAATTCTGAGCATCACCAGACAAAACGTAGCATCAGTGGAAGGAAATTATTTTCCGCAATAGAAACCTTGTCACTGGATGCCTATTCGCGGATTTTATTTTCAGATTTGTAAGGAAAAAATCTTTAATTATAGAATACAGGCTTCGTATGTATCCTACGTGGTAAAAGCGTCTCCCATTTTTACCATCTGCTGGAATTCATGGAGAATAGAGGGCTCCTCAGTCTGGGGCGAGTCTCATTATTAGATTTCAAATTCGTGTAATCGATTTTTAGTTGGCTCATGTCAACCAATGATGGATTTCATCATTTTATTGAATCTCTTTTTAATATCTCACGAGATTGCTCCTTGGTGCAATAAATAAATGAATATTTCACGTTAGGTCTCTGCTCGGGAAGAGTCATGTATTCGCATTGCTAATCTCTTGTATACTTTCTCCATGGTTAATGCTTAATCCATATTCCTGCGGTATAGCATGCTGGATGCTGGACACGTCTGTTTGCTAAGAGCAAAACTGCACGTTGCTTCCAGATAATACAGCATTGCGCCTGTTGCTCCGCATGTTCACTGCAATTGCAGGAATAATAATGGTTTTTAATAAATTAAGTATAGACTTTTTGCTGGACACCAAAGCTTCATTCACCTTCTTTGCAGCCGTTTTCTCCTCGTTCTGCAGAATTGCCAACAGCTGGATATGCGGGATAAGGTTTTTCAGTGCAGCATGTGGTCGAAAAACATCTTACGGATGGGAAACATGATACAGACGAAGGAAGATATTCAATGTCTCAAGAATGGAGTATATATTTGAGAGATATTTGGGTCTTTCATTTGGTTTCCTACTGAACTAGGCCTTGAGCTGCTGCAAGTGCTTTATAAATGCATTACGGCGCCAGGATGCTCACGGTCATATTGTCCTTAAAAAAAATTATGATACAAATGTGCGAGTGCATGTACGTAAGTCATATCTTCAGTCGTAAACATACAAGTGCCACATCTCTTTTAAGCATACCATTTTTCATAACTCGTACCGCATGATCTTCCGAGCTCGCTCACCGACTCTGTTTCATCTCCTTTCAACAATGGTCAATCCTTGCGGAGACAAAGAAAGAAAGAAAGAAATAAGCTTCGTCTTCCGCCACCCGATGGCTACTGCAGCAGGGGGTCAAGTATATGTGGGATGTGGTATATATGGATGAACTTTCTGCTGTCAGCCAGTTAGCAAGAGTTGCCAGTTTCTGCTACATTAAGGTAAGCAGTGTTCGGGCTCGCAGCCAGGAATCCGAAGATGAAGAGGCAAACACGCCTAGCAGTGACAATTGAGAATGTGATCCATAGCAGCAACAGCTCTTAACTTCCTCGTTTCCGTAAAAGTGTGATTCAAAGCTAGGCGGCATGATTGGATCCCGAATGAGGAACGAATGCGAGATGGCATCCCGACTGCAGTAAGACTGACTGACACTCGAAGACACACTTTCAGGGCCTCATTAAGGATGCGCACCTCTGGATGCTGCCTTTTCAACTCGGTTCTTTTTTTGCAGTCAAAATAATATTTCTGGCATCCATAAATTTGACTCAATTGCGCTGAAACCTGGAGAGATCCTCCTCTTGCCCGGATTCTTTTGCAATGCGGTTCAAGATTTCAGGATGCTACATTGAAGACGGTATGTCGTGGTCCGAGGTCTTCTCTTCAGGACTAAAAGCGCATCTCTTCCATTTTGACGCAGGAATTATTTGAACTGGGACAGTCAGTTGGTACTGGAATCCCTCATGAGAAATCCCAGTCATATCTCATATTCCGAGTGAAAATTTCATCGGATTCCATAACAGAAACATCACTATTTAGGTCAGGGGTGTCAAACTCGATAAGGCTGGGGGCCGGACGGAAGCCTTCAGGAGTGATTAGGGGCCACAATAAAAGCCTAATACCTAATCTTTTATGCAGATAGGCTGAAATTTGCAGTACTTTTCCGTAGCCGACTGTTGAAGAGGTTGCGGGCCGGACAAAATGGACTGGCGGGCCAGATCCGGCCCGCGGGCCGCCAGTTTGACTTAGGTGATAAAAAGAAAGGGGACCCTGGAGTCAGACCCAGACCTATGTGTGCATGTTTGCTAAGGAAGAGAGAGAAGCATTTCCAGGTAATAATATAATAAATAAATAAAAATAAACCGCGTCGTTCTTTGAGATTCTTTGGAGTTCATGTAAAAGCAGAAAAGCACGGCAAATTTTTTTGTTGCAACGATTCCTACGCATCCCTTAAACGTCCTAAAATTCAAAATTTTATTCAGCCGTTTTTTCACATGAGCAATAACGCAAAGGCACCCCGATATTTATTTTTGCGCGAGGGGTTTCAGCAAACGTAAAACTAAATGTTTGAAACAAATGATCAGTTCGAAGAATAATTCATGCAAGTCTTCCTTGCATGAATCCTTTGTTACAGCCTTGATGTAATGTGGTATAAAACCAGTAAAACGTAAGAATAGAAAAATCTGGGATAGGAGCTGATTCGAGAAAAATTATAGAGAAAAGGAAGGTGGCAGCACGGAGGGCGGGAGGGGGGGTCTCCCCGGACGAGCAGACTACGCAGATGTCATCAACAGCTTCTCTCTAGGTAAACGTGCGAGCACAGGGCGTACTCCGTCATTGATCACTCCCATGATGCTATTATACCGGGGTAATTGCGTTAGGTGATCCGCTGCCTCTCCGTTCGGTACATAGCCAAGTGAACGCACTTGAAACAGAACAGAAAACCGCTTCCCCTGTCGTTCTAAGATGGCGGCGCTTATGTGCCAAGAGCAGGTGTCTCGCACGTTGGCACTGCCCTGCTAACGAAATACTTGAGAAACTGTTGGTTTAATGTCATATTTAGTCCTTCTATGGCAAAATGACGTTCATAATACAGGGCGTCTCATATGTAAGTTCTTTTCTCCAGTAACCCCCAATTTGTCTCAATGAGGTGCATGGAAAGGTCTGTCATGTTCATACCTCTCATATCGAAAAACTAAATTTGGTCAGGTGCAGAAGTGAAGCTATGTATGAGACGCCCTTTATATGAAGCCCTTAAGATGATCCCTTGCTTGAACAGTAACGTATACATGAGCGAAGTGCTTCACTGCCAGACGTACCAGGTGTTAGTCGCTAAGAACTGCTCGCGCCCCCGATATGTTTGCAAGCCGTGGTCACTGCCTTACTGATTGATGTAGGCGTTAGCCTAGCCAGAAATCATATGCTTATTTTCTTAAGATGCCTTATAGATAAGCTAATGTCAACAGAACCATAATATTTTTTTTTAAACTCTGCAACTAAAAAACTCCATAGCCATTTGGGAGATTACTGTATTTTATCCTTCATGCTTAATATTTATTAGGCTCCACTAAGAAGAGAATCTTCAATACAGTATATTATTTCTTCAATGTTGTTTCTTTACTTTTTGTATGCTATTTAATTTAACATGTGGAGGGTTTCCTAGGACATCCTGTAAACTAGACTTGTGTGTAGTACTGTTTGCCTTTTTTCATTATTTCCTATTGAAACTTGGTAGCTCTCTTGCTTTTTGTAATTCCAACTAGTCTATAATGCAATAAAAAATAAAATTCTCATGATACAAAGCATGGGTCTATGAATGTCTCAATTGGAATTGATTATTAGAGTTTATGTGAAAATAGATGTCAGCATTAGCATCTTTTCAATATCAGTGGGTCAGATATCAGCCAGAATTCAATATAGTTGCATCTATCTTTAATATATTGAACATTTAGGAAAGAATAGATTTGGATCTTATGCACCATTGGATCCTCAAAGAAATGACAGTCCATATGGTCGCTGCAGTCACTTGCATTGCACATAATTCCTCACAAAGAATGCTGTTTTCCTCATATAATATCCTCAAGGATGTCAAAATGGTTCCAATATTGTAAATATACACATGTCATGTGAGTTATTCCAGTACTTCATGTCGGATGAACGGCATTTAATTATTGGAAGTATATTGGCCTAATTAAAATTATCTAGTTGAGTGTATTGTCTTATGAAGTCTTATCAGCATACATGCTATTTGAAGATTCAGCTTATCTTGTGACTTAGAACCTCTCGAGCTCTCGCAGTTGTGAATTGCCTAATGAATTATTCTGTTTGAGTTTGTTAGTCTACTTTTCTGTTCTGCCAACTGTAACTTTTGTGCAAACCAGGCTGATGCACTTATGGTTGAATATAAAATAGTGCTTCCATTGATTGTGTTGAATATTCAATAAGTTCTTTTTAAAAATATATATATATATTTTTTGAGATAGGCCTAACATGGCAACCTGATCTGATGCTTAGGCATGGTTGTGTGATGTGCTTAGTCCAGACATAGTATAGGGTATACAGACCCAGCCCTGATGGAAACTGCAAAGAGTTTGCTTTGGGGGCAGAAGGAGAAGGTTCCAAGTGAAGTGAAATTCCTTGGATCCCAGGCCTCGCTTCTTGATGGCTCACTTTTCAGCCTTCTGAAAACATGTAAGTTAGGCATAATATTGCAGAACCTCAATTTAATACCTTTCACAACCTAGGTCATAGGATATTAATCCATTGAATTCTCAGAAAGGAATGTTGAACATTCATCCATCTGGGATGAACATTGAACATGATTATTTCTTGTCCCTAGTGGCCTTGGATCACCTGAAAGAGAGTCGTCTTATTCACCCGCATGAATGGGAAATCTTGACCCAGAGGCATCCTGACCTTCCACTCCCTGAAATTTATGCAGGAATGCTGAGTCTGCTTAGGCATATTTTGAGAATGAAGCCACAGAAGATCAAAACTTCTGAGTTCCAAGAACAGATGTTTGCTCTTGGGTGTGTGTGAACTTTGATATTTTTTGTTGGCTTTGTCTTAAAGTACTCAGACTTTCAGAAGACATTTTATGACAGTGACTACTTATTTTCTTGCATTAGATTTTCTGAGAATCATGTTCAAGATCTCACAGAGTTGGTGTATGGAAATTCTCGAGGCAAAACTAGGGATTTGTTGGTGAGAGCCCAGCCTGGAGTACCAAAGCTCACGGGTATGGAGTGGAACTTAAATGCTGTGATATCCAATAGGTAAGCATATTTTCTTGAACTTGGATCTCAATTCAAATTATGTTTAAAGGATGAGATATTCTTGCTGAATATCTCTTATTCTTAATTATTTTATTCAGAGATCCAATGGCTCCTGAAGTGTGATATCTTATAATTTTCTTGCTCATTCAGTGCCTGGGTCTTTTTATTTCCAGTTATGTATCCAGAGTTTTGGAACCAACCTTCCAGGTGCAGATGAGACTATCAACTGGAACTGTGCATTCCTTTGAAATGCATGCTACCCAGTTTCATCATTTGAGACACACTGTTGCATCCCTTCTTCGAGAAATGGAAGACATGGAAAATCGCACTATCCTGAAGAATATACAGTCCTAAAAGTCATGTATTTAAGAAGTTTATATTGTGATGCTATTATATATTTTATAAGTTTTGCTTTTCCCAATAAACTGATATACAATTATTAACCTTTAACTTGCAACTGGATTCACACAATCCCAAGAAAGGTATTCATAGACTCACAACTGGGATTTCCTCAATCCCAAGAGTAATGGAGTATGCACTTCTTTATTTTAGACACCCATAGCTTTCCTTTCTTTTGGACAGTACTGATGTCTGTTGTCATGGCAACATATTTAAAGGGTTGCCAATAAAGCCTACTAGGCAGGGTTTACTTATGACATTTAAATCTGCCTTTTAAAGGTAAAGTAACTCATTGGTTCTCATGAACCTTGTAGTCCAAGGATTTAGAATATCAATTTGTATCTGTGCCTCCCAAGTTACTATAATTTGATTTGAATAATTTTAAAATTATGCTTGATTCCTCTCTAGGATTCATAATTTGTTGTCAAGTTGATGAAGGTCAATTTGCTTGGCTCCATAGCCTAAAATGGAAGCCTGCATTTGATTTCAAGTGCATGGTAGCAATTGATATTCCTATTTTAATTCGACCTAGTTATTAGTTTTGCTATTGTTGCATCAGAGAAAGTAATTCCTGCTTAGCATGTTTGTAAACAATGCATTTTGATTGAGTGTAAATATTTATTTATTACCTTTGTAAGAATTTCTTTGGTGAGTTCCAATAAGTATATCCAAGAAATTATACAATAATCAGAGACTGCATGAATTCAATCCAATTTCACCATGAGAAGTGTGTAGTGGTATGCACTCTTTTTTGTCAAGCAATAGCCTTGAAGTGTATTGCTCAATTTGAATTTCTTCCCATCTCATAGTTGTATGGGTGCTGTAGGTAGTTATTGGTGCTTCCAGACATTAAGAAGGCCCTTTATCAGACATGGACTTTGGGTATTTACTTGATCTTGCCAAGCATAATGAAGCCCATTCCAAAGTACGGGTAAGTGAAGAAGCATTCTTTGTTTTCTCTAGAGGTTAAGTTGAAAGATGTGAGCTGGATGAGCCATAATGAAGAAACATTAGAGCCATGTTTTAAGCATAAAAGAAGGCATCCTTTTTGAATGAAATTTCTTTTCTGCAAGTCTTGTAGTGCATGCCAGTAGTGATGCAATGACTAATAGAGGCATGCCATACATGCTTTTTCATTCTATGTAAAGGAACAGAATCCTAACAAATATTGTATATATAGTTAAAGGAAAACTTGAAAGTATTTCATAAAATTTATTTATGCAAAATGATATATATATAAAATGTCCATGAGAAATAAGTACATCATTCATGTTCTTCAATGTTTTGGAAAATCAAACTAGTGAATTATGAAGTTGACAGGATTGTCTGCAATTGCAATCTTATGGAATGTAGCTCACCTATGATGATGAGGATATGATTCAAATAAAGCAAAAAATGAAGTTAGGTTGAATGTAAATAGGCTATCATGAGTAATTGCTGTTATGGTGAAGAGTTAGTTGATTACAGGCTCAGGTGAAGCGATTTGACACGAGTCTGCAAGCTCCTAAAAGATCATCTAAACAGAAGGTGAGCAAAGATGCCATCAAGAAAGTCCTGCAGAAGAAAGAGATTGAGGAAAGGAAGAAGCAGGTGTGTTTTCTTTCATTGTTTCATGACTGATTCAAGTACATTGCATGTTCTCAGATACAGTAAATTTTAATTGACAAAGCTGAAGAGAAGTACAAGAGTTACATTTGCACTGTTTTGTAGTCAGAAGAAAGGAAGAAGAAGGAGGAACTATTGTCGCTTCGTGACAAGAATAAAGACTCAAAGAACAGGGTCTCTAAAATGCTGAGGCTAACGAAGTCATCTAACAAGTCAGTGCTGGAAGATGCCTGCAATGATAAGGACACAGCTGTAACATTAGCAGGTCCACTGCAGCCAGATGAGGATGATTATGGCTATACATCCAGGGAATCATCAGCTATGTATGAAAAGCTCTTGGCCAAGTACAATTCAGCCCCTGATGGGGGAATCATTTCCAAGTCTGTCAAGAAAACTGCAAAAGACATTGATGCGACCAAGGTCAGTGTCATCACCTTTTTCTATTTATGTATTTATCAGTTGAAGATTTTGCCATATGAGTAAGGAAACTAACATTTGAAAGTGTAATGGTTGCATAATTGCAAGTATAGGACCAAGACTGTGGTGAGAGATGCTATATTAAATGTGTTTGTGCTACATTTGCAAACCATAGGCTTCTGAATGTGATTGATATCACCTTGCTACCTCAGAATTATAATAATCTTTTTTTTCTGAACAAATTTTTTTTTTGGTGAAATGCAAAGGGAGACAGAACTTTTTCTGTTAACAGAAAAATTTCTGTGGTTCTGAATTTGCATCCATGTGATGAATATAGACCTGATTGCATCTTTTCAGTTTTCTTTCTTCTAGGTATTGATTGCAGAATATGATTGCCATAAATTGATTGTGGCTGCCACAAAATTCTTGAATTGAGTTGAAGTGTGAATATGTCTCAGTCTTGCATTTTGGTCAATGCCAAATTGTTCTCTATTTAGGCAAGAGTGAAAGAAGCTTTGAAAGAAGAAATTCATGGCAGTCGAAAGGCAAGGTCCTCCAAAAAGAAGATTGAGGATGACAGTGATGGCCCAGAAGAGGAGTGGGAGAAGAAAGGGGAAAAGGAAAAACCAAAGCAAAAGCCAAAGCCTCCAGCTCCCCCTCCAATGAGTTTCAGGGACCTTCTCAAGATTGCTGAGACCAAACAACATGAGCCAGTTGTTGTTGAGAAGAAGGTGGAGGAGGTGAAAGAGTGTGAATTTGACCGTCCCATGACTGCCCGTGAGAAGGAAGACTATGTGAGGGAGATGAACAGAAAACTGCAGCAGGAAGGGAAGCCACGTCTGCGAGACCCCTTGCCTGCAAAGCAGCGAGGGCCTGGCTATTATAAAAACTTCAAAGAAAAGTCAACATTAAAAAAAAGTGCTGATCCTGAGGGAAAAGTTCAGAATGGAGGACAAGGCTCAAAACCTCAGACAAGTCAAATGGGCAGGATAGAAGATGAAAAGAGAAAAGAACATTCCAAAAAGATTATGGAAGAGGAGGAGGAAGAAGCAGAAGAACAAAAGGAGAAAATCTCAAGCAGGCCAGAAAAGCAAAGACCTCAGCCACCATGCAAGCAAAAGCCTTCACTCCAACCTCCCATCCCCCCTTCCATCCAGAGGAAGAAACCTCTCTCACCTCCTCCTGTTCAGAGAAAGAAGTTACCTGTATCTCCTACTTCTGTGAAAAAATTGCCAGCACCTCCTTTGCATAGAGAGAAACAAATTCCACCTCCTCTACCTACACAAAGGCAGAAACTTCAAGTTTCATCTGGAAACTCATCTCTGAAGAGAAGACCACAGTCACCACCTCCAGCACGTTCAGCACCTCCTGAAAAGAAGATTATACGAGCACTTCCAAAGAAAGGTCAGCCAAAAGCTAGCAGTACTCAGTAAACTGAGCTGGCAAGATATTCATTTATGTTTGTTGGCATATTGTGTTACCCATAAAGTTCCAAGAATGGGTATGCATTCAGTTTTATAAAGTCAAAGTCTAAGCTACTAGGAAATGTAATATTTTTGCTGACAAAAAGCATCATAGCATCAAAACTGAGGGTTTGAGCCACGAAAGGATGGGTGTTTGTAGGAGTTGGATTTGGCCTCATCTTAGACTCTGGTTCTGCTGCTTGACAATAATGATCTTCATGTATGAGTTTTGAGAAAAGGATAAAGTTTTTTTAAATTTTCTTTCTTTATCATGTCATTGTTCTTACCTAGTGGTACAGGGCATGCTTTCTTGGGTTGGCATTATGCTTGGATGCATTCATGTCATGGTTGATGATTTCATCAAGGACAGTGTCAAGTGGAGGATCATAATAAAAAATGATAGATGCAAAGTGTTTGCCCTGCTGCAAGAATTAGTGAGAAGATGGAAACAGTGCAGGGGTTGGAGTGGGGTGGGGATAAGGGAAGAAGGGAAGGTTTGGTAGGTTTTAGTTTTTGGAGGAAACAACTCCTTCTGTACTTTTTATCTTCATTTTCATTTGTCCCACTCATGTGATCATAGACTTCTTTTTTTCCACAAAAACCTGCAGTCCCCTAATCTTTCTCTCCATTCTGAGATCATATCCCTATCTCACCCATTCCCAAAAAATCCATGAGGAAGAACAAGTTGGAAGAAGGGGAAAAAAGAAGACATGCTTGCAGATAAATTCATCCCATTAGGAAATAACTACTATCTGCATATTTCATTCTGGTTTTTCTGTCTCCTTATCCATGGGAGATATCCATCTGCAACAGGAATTCCTGAAAATGCTGGAGACAGTAGGAGGAGGAGAAAGGATTTTTTTGGCTTGGGGGGAAAACCCTGGATGTTCAGGGTCTTGTCATCCTTTGCACATGAAAAAAAAAAGAGACAGACCAGGAAGTCCTCCTTAGCCCCATGCTTTATAGTTTCTTCATGTGAAATTGAAATTTCCTACATTTTCCCTCTCTTCTCAGAAGAGACATGCTCAGATGAGTGTCTTGCACCCACTGTCACTTTCATTCAAGACAAGTTCACAAGCTGACACACATGCTTAACCTGCTCAACCTAGTGCATTCAAACCACATCAATTTCAAATTAGTTGCCATCCATTGAGGATTTGTCAAAGGGGTAAAAATGCATCCTCTGGGTCAGTTATGTTTTTATCTGAGCAGCTGCTTTATCAAACAAGGCAGTGAAGGAGGGGAAACTGGAAACTAATAGAAACAAGTTAGGCAAGCCCAGTCCAGTAGTGGGCCTCCTTTCAGTTAAGGAAACCCTCATTTTGTCACCTAATTGAACAAAATGTCATCTCTTTCTGGTCTTTGACCATCAAAAATCTAATTTCTCATTTAAATTTGGTAAACATAGACAACCGGTGCCCATGTAATGGTGATGGGAAGATGGAGGGCTGTGTGTGGTTGGATCCATCTGCCACAAAGGTTGGTAAGGAACTGACAGCTCTAGTTGCTGACACAGCACCGTGCCCAAAGTCTGGGTCCTACATGCATGCGCATTGTGGTCCAGAACCTGAAGGGCTCATGGGCACTCATGCCTTCCCCTTCATCAGCAAATTTCAAATCCAAAATTTGCAATAAAAATGCTAATTTTGGTGCAAATTTATCACAAAATGAACTCATCCTATATCTTGTACATATCTATCTGCTTGTCAATTTTCACATTGATCAGGCCAATGTTTTTTTAGTTATTGTCGGACAACCAAAGTGTGACATATAGACGCATGGACAGGCAGGACAGAACCATAAGTGGTCTCTTTCCTTTCAGGAAAGGAGGCCCACTCAGAAGTACACCTGTTCCTCCCTCAAAAGGCAAACATGTTGTTTCATCTTCCCTGCCCTTTGCCACTCTGGTTCTAGTGTCTCATAACTGATTGATCTATGCATACAGATCTGTATGTACCCAATCTTCAGAGCTTGTGCTTTCTTTTATGTGGTCTTCTTGTGACTTGTAGGAGGAATTTGGTTTCCCCAGGCAACAATATTATTAACATAGGTAGCTATTAGGATGGTTGACATTGATTATGTTGTTTTATGAAGTGGGCACAAGGTGTTGTGGTGCTTAAATATGAGGCAATCAACTCCTTCCCTCCATTGTGGACTTTAGTTTTGATGTTAAGTCAAGAACTAAGTAACTTATGTCTCTTGAATCTGCATCATTTTTATTTGACAGTGTAATCATAGGTGTTATTCCATGGCTTTCCTGCTGTGGTCATCATATAGGAACTTGAAGATGTTGGTATGATTATGGGAAGAACCCAAATACTATGGGAATAAAATGATATACTCTAATGCTGTAATGGCCATCACCATAAACATTGAAACATATAATATTGTCATGTTTTATTGGAGAAGGTTGGAAATTGTTTAAATGATGCTTTAGTATACTTTGTAATAATAATGAACCTGCTCATGTCTCAATATTGATCACATTGATGATGTGAGAGGTTTTCTCATGCTCTTTCCCATATTTCATACCTATTCCCCAAGAAGGTGTGACTAAAAGAACCTTTGATTTCCATTAAATGAATTATAAAGCCTTCATCATGCATTTATTTCCAGAGGAAATGCCTATAATTTTCAATTCATGATGTACTTACTTTCTAATATTGAAGGTGGGTGGAATTGTATCCATGCATACACTGGATGTGTCTAGGTCACATGACCTGATGATGTGAATTCTAAATTGTGAACTTACTGTCTTTGGTCACAGGTCGCATTGAAAGTGATGAAGAGGATGAAGATCTGTCTGACTTCATTGATGATGGACCTGAAGAGGAGGAAGACTACTCAAAGCATATCAGAGAAATATTTGGTTATGATAAGAGGAGGTTAGTGTTTCTCACTTGTTTTTAAGCCTATTGCTATATTCTGCAGTCAAGCCAAAAAGTATAGGATGGTTATAAAGTGTATAGTTATTTAATTTTTTACTTATGATAGGCAACACAAAATGGCTATTCATTCATATGCATGTAAGGAAAGTTGTGGGGTTTCAACATTTATGCCATTAACAGTGATTAGGTGACATGTGCAGAATGTTAAGTGCATGGGATCTCAATGGAGATGGGCTTGCTAAGACAGGGAACACAAGCTGGATGTGTTCCAGTGGAAGTGGTTGGAAAGTGCACAGATTAGAAAAGGTAGCACCCAGTTATTAATTTAGGAGAAGGATATCCAATTGCTTGCTTCAAAAATAGAAAAAAATCGATTTATTGGATGACAGGGCAAATCACAAAACAGCCCCATGTCTGCCAGCTTTCATGAATGCATTGAGTCTTATTTAGACTTGGCACAAAGGTGCAGAGGGTGATGGGAGACATAACGTATGCTTTGTGCCCTTGTGCTTCCTTTTGCACCCAGTTGAAAGTTATTGACTTTCCCTTACGTCTATACTTTTCCTACAACTTAGCCATGCATTGTGCATATTTAAAATTGAGAGCCCCTCATCCAGAGGTTTCCCATTAATTTTCTGCTGGCATATGTTGCACAAATCCCCATTATTGCTAATGGGTTGGATATTGATTGCCACAAAATAATTCCATAGCCTTCCTTGTGCATACATGTTTACATTATTATCTTACAGTATCTGGTATCAGGACAGGAAAATAAAAAATTGTCTGGGTTTATGTATACTCAGATTTCACTCTGTGCTGAGGTACTGTAACAAATCTTTGGACAGGCCTCATTGTTGCCGTTATAAACTCATGTCATCTATAATACTGATATAGGAGGAAGTAAATAATTTCTGGGCTTCTTTGGTGATTCCAGATATACGAGTCGACGAGTGGAGGATTCAGATTCTGATGAGTGTATGGAATCAAACTTTCATGATGTGATGCGTGAAGAAATTCATTCAACCAAGATGGGAATTTTGGAAGACTTGGCTGACATCCGTAGGGAGAAGAAGCTCAAACAACTCAAGAAAAGTAAAAAATTGTGATGTGTACTATCATGTGCAATGTTACAAAGGGACAGACTGTAGGAGTGATATCTGATATAACTATCATTTTGTGTACTATTGTGCACAATGATACAAATGGAAAGACTGTAGGAGTAATATATGATATTCATATCATACTGCAGGTCAGGTCCATGTACATTAAAGATAATTCTATTTCATCTCAGTTCCTCTCATAACCCTTGGGTGTCCAAGGATTTTGGACCAGCTTTCTCAGGTGCTTCACTTTTCTTATGCAGTGACTTTCTCTATGTTGTTTGGAGGATGTGGATTCCTGCTAGCAACACAAATCCCCACCTTCTATGATACTCCAAGTGCAGACTGGGTAGAGTTATGACCATGAGAAGTAAGCCAAACAAATGTGATCCTGGCTTACAAGTATGTATAATCAAAGGAGAATGATTCCTTCCATTCTAATGTCTCCCATATACCCTCTCATGGCCCAGCCTCACCTTTTCTGTGAACCTTGTATAAATACCTGTTCTAAATGTATCTGAATGGGTAAAATTGAGCAGTTCTCTCTAAGCTTGTTCAACACCAAAAGTTAGAATGTTACCAGTACCATGTTGAGTCATTGCCATGGTTGCAAATCAGTACAACTTTGTGATCCCAGAGATAAATACAGAATTAACAGGGAGTGATACTCTTATTGTATGAAATATTCAAGTCTCTAATGAATTGGTTCAATAGGGAAATTTCTTAGTGAGTCTTCACAGCTAGGTGGGATGACTGTATACTGTATGTGAATGGCAATGGCAAACTCCTTGCACTTGTCAGATAGAGGTAATCTGCTTTGTCCTGTGAAAACATCCTTAGCAAAATCACCTCTTGAGTTATTGTGGAGGTCAAATGATTCCAAACTGGCCCAGTTTTGAGCATGTTCCTGTGAAGTTCTTGCTATTTGATGCAGAGAATAATGCTAAGAACTACTGTTTTTATTCTTCTTTTATTATTATTCTTTTCAAGAAGAGACGTCTTGGAATGACATGGAATGGATGGGTATAGAATTTAAGCTTATGTAATCTTCAGGCTCACATAGTACATGTACAAGATGTTTTGAAACTTTCTGATGCATATTGCAAATTCTAACTGACAGAATAGTAATAATACACCAGAAAGGAATTTACCATTAGATTATACATTCATCAAAATTTCTTCCTACCTATTTAATCTTTTTTCATTGATGCTGCTGTTCTACTTCACTTCAAATTGGAGGTCAGTTTTCTCAATGTATGTAATTTTATCACCAGACAGTTTCATTGAAATTTGTGCTTATGGTGGAAACATGAACTTCACTTTGGATACACTGCTCTAGTTCATCAAAATGTCAAATGAAGAAGTCCAATGGCTTCCAATCATAGAAGCAAGGTGTCCTTGTAATGAGACCCTTTTCACCAATCCAATAATTTGAACCTACATGTGTCTTCAACATAAAGTCTAACATCTGTTGCAAATTCAGGTGTGGTACTTTCTTGCGGGTGGATCGCATGATCAACAATATTGCATTCATGCAGTTTTACTTAGATCTGGAGAATTTTCAGGTAATCTTCATCTGTGACATTTGCTGTTGGCCCTGGCTAGTTTCTGAGGAAGAATTAACAAATGATTTTGAAGTATGACAAGATGCCTTTGAGATTCAGTTTTAGATGAACCTCTTTGATGTTTTCAAACTTCCAAGAATCATGCTGTGCACCTTATGCCCTGCAGCTTCCTGATAACACTTGTCCAGAAAGGTATAAAATTTCTCCATATGAGAATCAGATTTAGTCTAACAATGGATACCTTCACAGATTCTCCTTGATTGTCACTATTCTCAAGTAAAATTCTTAACAATAACTAGGTTATGTATGGTGTCAGCTTATGGTCTTTAAAGACTTTGGACACTTCAGAAGCTGAGTCTGAATCTGAAGTTGCTTGACAGCTAGACCCATTGTTTGTGTCCATATATAAAAAAATTGGATATCTGAATATGGGGCTGTCACTCACAGAACCAAGGTTTTCAAGAATTTAACTAGGTTTTCATGTATTGCCTGCTGATCCAGAGTTGTTGCATTATGACACAGAAAGAACCTATGAACTTTTTTCTGGGCAGCAATATGGTTGATTGGGCTCTTGCCTGGTCACAGCTTTGCATCTTTGGGAGCTGCATCAATTTGGCTGCCATTGATTCATTAGCAGAGAACTTGTTTGGTAATAAAAAAAAATAACCTGAAGCCCTCCTTACTTTGAGCAGTTTGTTGCATCATTCTCACTATGCATCTGTAGAATAAATAGAAAATGAAGTGTATCAGGAATTTATGAAACACCCTGTACCATCCAATAATGAGAAGTGAATGAACCTCAAGTAAAATACTGAATATTAGTTTTGTCAAATTCAGCTGAGAGTATACCTGAAGGATCCTCCAGACTATTCAGTAATATATAATATATTTTTGTTTTTGCAATTGAAGTTGTTTTGAAGGAATGCCAATAAACTTGAAATTTATACTTGCATGCCCATTGTGTACATTTGATTCCTTGATGGATGATTTGATTGAGAGCAGAGGACTCATTGCACCTCGGATTTCCATATCCAAACTTGCCACTGTTTTCATGCACTCTAAGCATTGTGCTCTGTGGAGATTTCTGTTCAATTTTCAGTGCTGTGTTAAAGATTGAATTTTGAGGATGCAAGGAAATCAGCTCAAGGTCCTTTAGAACCTTGTGTAATAAGTGTTTCATGTTTTGCCTTCAGAACCATCTTAGATGTAAGGTGTATGACCATTGGTTGTGACTTGAGTATTGAAAACTTTCCCAAGGAATAGCTGACTGAGATCACTTTTTTTTTCTTCAAACCTTTGAGGTTGATCAATGAAATACTGTCAAGAGAAACTGAAGAAGTATGGGAGAGAGGCAGTGCTTTTTGGCTGTACATACTGGGGCAGGAAACATTGGGAGTACAAGTGCACCACATTACATGCGAGTGTGCAAGCAAGCATGCCTGGCAACAATGGAACAATTGAGGCAGGGAATGAGTGCTGTGGATGCAGTTAGCCTTGCTGTATCCATTTTAGAAGACTGCCCTCATACAAATGCTGGGATTGGTTCTAATCTCACCCTAGATGGGAAAATTGAATGTGATGCAAGTCTGATGGAGAGCGAGCGAGGAGCTGTGGGAATTGTTGGCTCTGTATCACACATTAGGAATCCTATCAGCATACCCAGATTGATGGTTCAGGATCAGTTTGGGCCTCCATTGCCACTGAATCGATTGAAACCGCTTATCTTAGTTGGGAAGGAAGCAGAAAAGTGGGCTAAAAAGCGTGGGATTCCTCTTGTCTCCCAGGAATCAATGATCACAAAGAAGGCCCAGCATTTGTTTAATGTCTGTCACAAAAGCCTGTCCACAGTGCTTGAGAAGGATCACACAGTTCCATTTCCTGTAGAAGAAGTGCAAGATACAGTGGGTGCCATTGCATTTGATTCTTCTGGCACCATTGCATCAGGTGTTTCAAGTGGGGGTTTGGTATTGAAGCAACCAGGAAGAGTGGGACAAGCTGGATCATTTGGGTCTGGCTGTTGGGCTGAGAAATTTTCCAAAGAAAAAATCTGTGTAGGGACTAGCACCTCAGGCAGTGGAGAATATCTTCTCAAGACTCTCATTGCGCAGAAGGGGGCTGAGTGCATTGCCCAAACACCTCTAGCTATGGTTGGTCTCTCAAAAGCCCTCAACACACATTTCTTGCAATCCAAGTTCCTGCAACATGTCCCAGAGAAGGATCGACTTGGTGGAATGATGGCATTGAAAACTGATGAAGAGAATGCAAGCCTTGATGTTGTGTGGGGTCATACAACGCTAACTATGGGCATAGGATACATGTCCTCCAATGACAGAAAACCTAATGCTCGAATCTCAAAATTGCCTCATGGAATCATACAGGGTCATGCTGTCAATGTTGAGGGACAAACTTATAGGCTTTCTTGAATGTCTCCTTTTTCATTTTCTTCTTGAATCAGGTGTATTGTTTGGATATGGACACACACACTCCTCAAAAAAGAGAACGAAAGAAAACTCGAAGTTCATTGACTCCAAAGTCAGAGAAAAAGTGTCAGTTGATGCAATGTGTTTCATGCCATGTGATTCTCTTACCAATTGACAAACTCAAGCATTCCTGTAATAAAAGTGGAGTCTTTGAATATGGTTTTATCAAGGATTCCATCCAGTATGGGCCATCCAAAGAAATCACACTCCCTGGTGAGATTCAAGAATGGAAAGTCTTCATTTAACTGAGGTGAGACGATGTGACTGATATAATCTTCATTTTTTGGCCAGAATATTGGACAGGAGAGGGTAACATGGTGGTGTACTTGAACCCAGCCTCCATGCATGTCCTTGGCTGTGGTGTTGGTGATCTTGTTACAGTCAAGAATCTTTCAAATAGCCATGGTTTCACAGCAGTTGTCACAGTCCTTCCCAACAAAGAGATTCCTGTTCTTACTTTAGGTGCATCACATGAAGGTATTCATAATGTTTGATACAAGTAAGTTATGCTAGAAACAGCAAAGCATATGGTAATTCTGTTTTCATTCATTCTTAGCATCTCTGAGTTTGGAGATTGAGGGAGAGAGAGCCTGGGTTGCAGTGCAAAAATGCACATTTCCTGTGATACCAGCTGCAGTCTTGGAGTTAAAACTCTTAACATCTCCATGCCCCCCAGAAGTATCCCATTCTCAGCATCTTTCACCTTATGTGAAGCAGTTTTGTGAAGGCATGGTACTCTCCCATGGACGTATCATTCATGTGTCCTATTTTGGCTGGATGCTCAGCTTTCAAGTCATATCAGTAGAGCCTCTGAAATTTAACTCTGATGTGGATGACTTGGATTTCTCAAAGTTGAAGTTGAATGAAGATGTGCCAACAGTCCTAGAAGGAAGTGACAGTACTTATCCACTGTCTGATCCAAGTGATACATCCAGTGTCATGTTTCGTGTCATGCAGAAGACATTGTTTGTTATCAAGACTAAGAATGGAGATGAAGGACACGGAGGGCCCCTGTGGCCTCGACTATTTGACATTGGTGCTCTGGATTCTCAGATTCAAGACATACTCACTACTCTTTCATTCACTCTGGATGGCTCTTCTCTTCCAGGTTGAAGAAAGCCCTGCTTTGTCTGATGATGGTAATAATAGTCAAGGGAAAGTTCACTATCTTGGGTTTTCTCCAGGTACTCTTGGTTTGATGACAGGTATCCTCATCTATGGTCCTATGGGAACAGGAAAATCCATGGTAGGAAGAGCCTTGGAAAATGAAGGGAAATATCCTGTCATTTACATACTAGGTCCAGAGATATTTAGCAAGTTCTTTGGGGAAACAGAGGAGAACTTGAAGAAGAAATTTGCCCAGGCTGAAGCAAAGTGAGAAATCTTATGGCTCTGCATCTGACTGTTTTTATTTATTTCTTTAGAATCCTTCTGATTATATTTAGGGCTCCAAGCATTGTGTTCATTGATGAAGTAGAAGCCATGTGTCCCAAGCGTGAAGGGGGAAGTGGTAGTGATCAAGAAAGACGGGTCACAGCCATGTTACTTTCCATCTTGGATGGCTTGAGGGGGCAAAAGAGATGTGTTTTTGTCATTGGAACATCCAATAAACCTCAACTTATTGATCCTGCTCTGAGACGCCCTGGGCGACTGGAGAAAGAGATTGAATTTCCTATCCCTTCAGTCAAAGGCAGGCTTGAGATATTTGGAAAATCAGCAGCCAGACTTCATCTGCATTTGAGTGAGGACTTGTTGTTGACCGTGGCCAAGAACACTCATGGTTATGTTGGGGCTGATCTCATGGCACTGTGTAGCCAGGTTCATGCCCTCATGCAGAAATCTCCTGGTGTTGAGATCACATGGTGTCACTTCCAAGATCTCCTAAAGAAGCTGAAACCCAGTGCTATGAAAGAAATCTGTGTCGAAGTCCCAGAAGTAAGTGGGCAGAATTATCCTGCCTTCTTTTTATATTTTTAGGTCAACTTAGAAAAATGTAGACATAACAGATATATGGATCCCATGAAATGATAGGCCCTCTGTCATGGAAGTAACTGAAATGGATGTAAAAAAAAATGCAGTGGCAGGACTGAATGGTTCACTTCATTTTGCATTATGTCATATATTCCATTTTAGGAAACTGTGCCATTGGGATTCTGAACAGCAGTGAATCTGTCAGGGTATGATCTCAAGAGGGAGCAAAAGATTGAAAACTATACCAACACCTTGTACTGCTCAGAAAATCCCCACACAAATGTGATCAACTGTTACCTCTTTTTAGTCAATGACAGGTGAACCGCTCATCACAAATACCTTACAGATGAAGAGACATCCCAATATTAAAACCCTGTAATTTAATTGACTTCAGAATACCATGTACTTCACTGTAGAAGGGGGGCTATCATTTTGTGGTGCCCCATGCTTGTCATCTTTCTCTGATATTATTGTAATAAATCCTGTTCTGCAGCAATAATGCAACAGCAACTTCTTAGCTCTGCTCTTCAAGTGTTCAAAGGAGAACATCATAACAGTGCACTGTTTTCAGGTCCATTGGTCAGATATAGGAGGGATGAAGGACCTGAAACTGAAGCTGGAGCAGAGTGTGAGCTGGCCATTACTTCACCCAGAAGCCTTCACACGTCTAGGGATCACCCCACCTAAAGGAATCCTCATGTATGGTCCCCCAGGCTGTTCCAAAACCCTCATTGCCAAAGCTCTTGCTACTGAAACTCATCTCAATTTCATTGCTGTTCGAGTGAGCCTTTTCTCCAACTTAAAATGTTTACTTATTAATTGAATTCAGTGCACATTTTGCATGTATCATTGGATTGCAGGGACCAGAGTTGTTTAGCAAATGGGTAGGAGAATCAGAGCAGGCAGTGAGAGAGGTGTTTCGAAAGGCACGCCAAGCATCTCCTTCAATCATCTTCTTTGATGAAATTGATGCCTTAGCTGCCCCAAGAGGGAACTCAAGCGGGGCATCAAATGTCCATGAAAGAGTCCTTGCTCAACTCCTCACTGAGATGGATGGCATTGAGGTGTTAAAAGATGTCTTTGTCCTTGCGGCCACCAACCGACCTGACCTGGTTGACCAGGTGCATCTCTTGCATTTCTTATTTCCTTTTATCTCTTTTGTCTTAGGGTAAGTGCACACTGATCCTTGCCTAGCTCTTGCAAATGTTGCTTCTTTCTGTTTTACCCAACATGTGAAATGCATTCATAGCTTTTTGAATTTTTTTCTCAGGGCATAATTTCTCCAATAAACCCATTTAAGAAGCGAGAAGAAATTGTTGCTGCATTTCTCAAAGAGCAGGATTAGGTCTTAGGATCCTGTGCTTGGTTGATGGAATGCACTTAACATAAGGGGAGTACATGCAGCACAATCAGACATGGTCTTGTCCAACTGGTGTCTGACTATATCTAATGACATGAAACATGTCAAGCTGGTGCTTGAAGTCCAGAGCTGCAGATTAGATCTGAATTTGCAAGGTTGTGTCTAGCTGAGCTGGAATCAGTTTGCGCTTAGCCCTAGATGCCTCTTTCCCTTACATTGTTCTGCGTATGGGAACATGACAAATCTCCCCTCCTATGTCTTTCAAAAGGCTTTACTCCGCCCAGGACGTCTTGATCGGATCGTGTATGTTCCACTTCCTGATGCCAACACCAGACATGAGATCTTTGCCATCCACCTGCGAAACACACCAACTGCACAAGATGTCAACATCAATGAACTTGTGGCACTCACAGAGGGATACTCTGGAGCTGAGGTGATGTATTCACATCTACAAAATTTCTCAAACATCACTTGCTGGTTCGTTTTTATGTATATCATTTGGCATCCTATCCAGGTGGCAGCAACGTGTCATGAGGCAGCCTTACAGGCCTTGGAGGAATCAATTGATAGCCAAGAGGTGTCATGGTCTCACTTCAAAAGGGCTCTGAGCATTGTCAAGTGTCAAATCAGGGCAGATTATCTGAAGATATATGAGGAGTATCAAAAGAAGCACAAGGACTTGATGTGATGCCTGTTTATTTTTATTTTGTTAATTGCACAGAGGACAATGAAGTGCAGTTCAAGGATGCATCATTGTTTGAATTTGATAGTTTTCAAGGTATTTCTTGAAACTCAATGCCTCTTTAAAAACTATCAAAAGACTGAACATTATTTAGGATATCGGTATATTATGATAGATCAGTCAAGAAATTGCTCCTTTCTGGCTTCCAGACCTGATTCTCTTGTCCTTGTGTCTTTAAGCTATGGTTTTCATAGGGGATTTTCTCAGAAATTTCAAACAAGAAGGGAAAATCCAGCTTAACAGAGGAGCTAGCTCTGTTTGGCAAGTGTTGTACCATGCAGCGTTTCCAATTTTCTGACGCCAAACGTTTGCTCAAATGTAATGACAATTTTCGAATTTGAACCTGTGAGTGTGTATTAACGTGACATTGCAAAGCTATGAGAATACTTCTCTGACAACTGCTGAAAATTCATGAAAGTCTGTCCACATGTGTGGACACAGCCTCAAAGGATTAAGGGTATTTCTAGAACAGCTTGATACTTGAAACCCTCTTGTACTGGGTGATGACATGTACAAACATGCCAGTAACTTGTAATTCATCGACTTGATCGCCCCCCTTCTGGTATGCACTGAATAAAACAGCCTGTGATCAAGTCATGGATGATGCTGTCGCGCGAGATTGATGTGAAAGAAATGGCATTGAACAGAAACTGACATGGCAACAAGGCAGGAGATGAATCAAATTGCTGCTTGGGACGAGGAAGTATAACTCGTAGTTGTTGGTTCCTTCAAAGCCACTATCTGGTGAAAAATTTCGGAAGGTGTCTCTTGGACTGTTCGCATCAGTATGGCAATCTACTTGGTAACAAAATGAAGGGATCGAGAGTTCCTTCTAAAACGTTGCAATTTGTACAATTATGGATCTACGTGTACGTCGGGGGATTCCAACTCCCATCAGCTTTTCCATGAGAAAGATAAATATCTCTCTCAAATTCACGATGAAAATCGGCAATCTTATCCCTGTTGGATTACTTTTTCAGCTCCAAATGACTCTTCTAGGGGGGACGAGTGCCACTGAACGTTGAAGATTACTCTTCGAAAGCTGGAGTCCATTTCCAACATGAAAAAGATCTGATGCGAATTGCTCGTAGGATTGGAAGGCACCGACAAGTCGGATTGGCTAGCTTCGGGTTAGAAGAGTGGATATCTATCTATACTCTTCTAGCCTGGGGTTAGCCTCTTCACCGGGCACAACGACGGTGACATGATGGATAGCGTTATCACCATCACCTTCACGGTCCTGGCAACCATGGGCACAACCAGGCCCGCCCAGAGGTTTCCAGAGGCCCGGAGCAAAACTAAATCGGAGACCCTCTTGCAGCCCGAGGCAGATTTCCCCATGCGCCCCCCCCCCCCCTCCCCTCCCTCTGGGCAGCCTGGCGCAATCGATTCAAATCCTAGCAGGAAGTATCCTCGTTCCATCGTAGACCGTTTATGGGTGCTCGTGTGCACAAACGATCTGCAGTAAAGATTAGTGGATCTGCACGATAGGATGCGATGCCGCTTCGCCGAAAGCAAATGGAATCTACTGCATGATTGCCATTACGCCTGGCGTCGATCGGCAGCCCCTCTTTCGCGATATTCACGTATCATGACCACTCGATGGAAGCAACCGTTCCCGTTGGGAAAGCGGAAGTTCAGAAAATATTGGCAGGGAAATGAATGTTTCGTGGGATCCGGTGAAGACTACCCTTGGGATTCTCGGGCACCATGCTCTTTAGGTTTCGTTCTCCTCCCGTCCAAGGAAGGAGCTCCGAGTGAAGCCAGGCCATATGAATATGAAAGTCAGATTAATTTGGAACGGTTTCTGATTCTTTTCAGATTAGATTAAGAAAGACAATGGCTGGCACTCATGACAGTGAGAAGAGAAGCTATTGATCAAATGAGATGTGTGGCGTTTCGTGTGATTCGAGATCCTGGTACCGGATTTATCACAAAAGCTGGATTGCTCTCGGGAGATCTGAGAGGTCGATCCGCGAAACATGGAAGAGGAGGAAAACAGGAAATGTTGAACTGGGTGGGCGAAGGCCAACCACTGAAGAAGCTGCAGAAGGGAAGAAAAAGGTCCTTTCCCACCCCCGTCCTGACTTTTCCTCAACAGGAAGGAGAAATTGTCAGGAAAAACGAGGAGGCCACAGCACCACCTCCGCAACACTCGAAGCAGGGGCATGCCCACTTCCCCGGGCTCTTCAGGATAAAGAGCTAAACGCCTCCATCGATACTGTGACCGCTTTCCCCGTCGCACCTATAGACAAGGCACATGGACGAGTTGGAGACACGTGGCTTCAGAAAGAGCTGGGAAAAATCCAACGACGACTCGTCATGTCGCTCACAGCCTCATATTTGGAACCGAGACAAACGACCGTGTTACATGGACATTCTGGGCTACATGAACCGTCGGAACGACATCAAACATCACGTAATTGGCTCACCCTCCAGGATCGCGCATGTTATGGTTGCGGGGCTCATGACCACCAAGTGACATTCTGCCTGTATCCACTACGGCCGAGGTGCTCCTACTGCGGCAAAAGTGGCCACCAGCAAAGAGATTGCTGGGCACGCTCGCGTGCGCCATCATTCCCTCGTTGTTATTCACCGCCAAGATCCTACTCACCTCAACGATTCACCTCTATGCCGGGAAGAAGGCCCCAATCACCAGGGAGAAGATTCCAATCGAGTCCGATAATTTCGGCGAGGCGGATCACCTCATCCTCCACGTCGAAGGGACGATCGCGGTGGATATCGATACACTCTTTTCTAAAGAAAACGGAGAGCTAGCTTCCCGTCGGTAGGGAGGGGGAGCGCATACTGGGTATCGTATGTAGTGTTTCCCATTGACTTTCGTACCTGCCGCATAATGTTGCGCACGAGCGGCATATTGCTTCGTACCCCTATCAAAATTATCCGCACGCGTTGCACAATGTTTTGTACTCCCCCCCCCCCCCCCCCCCCCCCCCCCCCCCCCCCCCCCCCCCTGGTGTACAATGTTTTTTTCCCCCCCCCCCCCCCCCCCTACGCCCAGCGAGCAAGTGCCACTCCGAATGACGCATCCATCTGGCAACCCTTGGAGAGAGGAATGCATGGTTAATGGATAGTCTTTAGAATGTATGGATATCGAACGCCTAGATTAGCGGAATACTCTGAAGTACTCCATGGAATGATCTGTAAGTATATGGAAAAGGAGTTCCATGCTTAGAAATTCTTATTGATGAAACACCAAATAATGATCTGATTTGCGTCAGAAGTGGTCCTCTTTCGCCTGGGTGCCATAACGACGAAGCCTGAAACTGACGAATACCATCCACGGGAGACTCTGTCATGCAGTTGTTGCTTCAAGAGTCCCGGACATGGTTTCCATAATCAGACAACCAGGTTGTCTTGCCATTCTGAGCAGCACTAGAGGAGTGGAGGAGAGCAGGTGGTACGAAACATTATGCAACGCGTGCGATCCATTTTGAGGGAGGTGCGGAGTATTTTGCCGCTAGTGCCTAGCATTCTGTAAGACGTGCGAAACTCACTGAGAAACACTGTAGCATATGTAAATAAGTTCATGCATGCGAAAGTCGCGAAAGACGATTTCCAAGATGATCATGGGGATCTAGTGTTACACATCGCTACTAATAACCGCAATCCCATCGTTGAGATGGAATTCCATAACTTTTCTCTGCGGTTCTTGATTGATACCAGTTCTCAGGTGTCCCTCCTGAACACAACTTGGTTAGAGATGTCACGGCGTTTCCCTTCAGCTTTTCAGAAGCTACAACCCTGCCCCGATACTCTCCGATCGGCATCGGGACACTCCATTCCCGTGAATGGAACCCTTGATCTGTGCCTGTGTTAGCCCAAAGAGAAGAAAAGGATTCAAAACTTCATTGTATGCCGAACTCTCCCGAACTCTCTTGCTGACAGCATTCTCGGCATGAATTTTCTCCGCGAGTTCAGGGCCACTTTGGATTTAGGGAAACAGGCCATGAGGATCGGCTCGACGGTGATCCCATTCCGAGAGAGCAAAAAGTCATATGCAGAAGCCGTGAAGGACGATAAGGCACCTTCGTCTCCTGTTCGAGGAAAGAAAAGAGTCCACTTCGCTGACAAACCGGAAGTTTTCTTTATCCCGCCCAGAAACCGTCTCTCAAGACGAGGATCTACCTATGTCCATTGTCTGATAGGAACTCCTCAGATTAAAGAGAAGATGGCCCCAGTTTCTAACCGGGCCCAGATCATTCCTGCGGGCTTCCGTTTTTTTACCGGAACGAAAAAAATAAAATAAAATTCCTATTCCTTCTTCCACCCTCCCGGGAATTCTCCTGCATAATTGCTTTGAGGTCTTCGTTACAGTTTTTCCCAACTGCTAACGTTCGTTTCTCGAAACTATACTTGGTTTTAAAATTATTTGAACAAATCCCAAAACTCTACGCTCTTTTCTCACATCTATGCGTCCAACAGTCACGCGGATAAGTTAAATCTCAGCCCCAATGACGTGCTACTGAAGGAAGTACGAGTACCTGAAGCTCCTTCAATCAGAAACTGCTGTGCCGTCGTGCTCCCGGATCGAATACGAAAAAATATCATGATATCATATCACCATACTCCATGGAGTGGTCATCAAGGAACCGAGAAGACCTTTTGGAAAATAGTTCCTCGAGTATACTGACCAGGAATGCAACGTGATATAAAATCTTTTTGCCAGTCTTGTCCTTCTTGTCTGAAGATAAACATTAATAGTTCGAAGCGACCGAATCCCATGACCATCCCTCACTTGCCGTCTCAACCTTTTGAGATTGTTGCCAACGATATTGTAGGACCACTTTTCCCATCGGGAGAGACACCGAAATTGGGATTCCGTTTTCTTGGTCCGTTCTGGGAGAGAAAGATTTATAGGTCTACCTTGAAGGTCGAAGATCCCCAACGACCTGAGACAAAACGGACCGTTCATGCGACAAAGCTCTCCTTTTCAAGACGCCTCCTACTTTCCAAATCTCCTTTCCGAGGATACGAATATCGGGAAACCCGAGATTCAAGAGGAAATTCCTGGAAAGAAGCTCTATGAGTCGACTGGCGTCATGAACCTTTCACAATATTCCCCCACTGCCTTCCCAGACAAGCTTCCTGATATGCCCCTCGACCCGCAACCCCTTCTGTTCGAGTGGCCAAACCCTTCACTAGGAGAATCCTTTCTCTCACCATTACTTCCCACTACGTCGGCCCCGATACGAGGAAGGGTGGATTCTTCATCCAGTCCGCCATCTTCGTCCTCAAGGCAGACTACTTCACCTCCACCATCCTACATCCCACGTCCTACACGATGGAAAAAAGCACTTTATCCTCCTACTTTCCGACAGTGGAGAAAGCAACTGTTCACCGACTCCACTCCAAGAGTCGCGCACCTCAACCCCAATTACTTCGCCGGCAGTTCCTGTTCTGGCTGACCTGTGTCACGGCCACGCCACCAGAGCAAGAGGGCCAGTGCCTGATTATCCCCCACCCCCTCCCCGGAACGATGGAGGCAGTCGAAGCGAAAGCAGCCCCCGTCCGCCGCTCCTGGAGCTACAGCAGGACAACCATCTGTAAGTATTCCTCCTACTGAAGAATCTAGGAGAGATCAAGCTGTAGAACCACGATTTTCTACTTCCTACCACGAAAATCTTTTGAAAGGAGATAGAACCAATGACAACTTAGATTTTGACTACTGGTGGGGTGAAAGCCAATACATTTGTCAATGGTAAACTTGTCTCGCATTGGGACGAACTCAAGCCTGTGAGGTTAAGTATTATGAGGCATTCCAGGTGTTGGATTCCACTACATAATGTATAGTGCCAAGGCTCTGTGCACGCAGTGAATTTTAGATCGAGTCCCCTCGATCATGTTTTCCCCCATGTTTTCCCTCGAGTGGAACGGGATTTTTACATTTTCACAGGTCATGGCCCCTCTGTGGCCATTCTACCAGGTCGCAGCCTCGTCGTGATCGATAAGTTTGTTCGCAGTCGCATCCGTTCCTTCAAAATCGTCTCCGAAAGAAGTGTCTTTCAAGTCGATGACAAACTGATCGGTGCAAGATTTTCCTGCATTTTATTCAGGCAGGATCGTGTATAAAGGACTCAACACGATGAAAGTCAGAATTTCTTTCTTCATCATATTCCAAAAAAGAAACCAGTGAACACGAGATAGCAAACCAGTATGTCAATCAACGCCCGGTGGGGAACTGAAAGCAGTGATATGTCTATCCTATATCCGGAGTATGCTTGCCCTGGAAAAGCTGTTCCCTCATCAATACCGCTGCTTACTCCATATGTAACAAGTCTCTCTATATTGGTACACCTTAATAAAGCATCCGTATTCATCGGTTCAATAACGTCACTACGCTCATAAAAATGTTTCTCTCCTTGCAGCAAACTACTCTAGGAGCTCCGAGCTCGGAGTAAGATCAGCAGCAAGGACCAGGAAGAGCTCCTTCCGTGACATCTACATTCGAAAAGGAAGGAGACAAAATAATGAGTAATATCAAAGCATAAGCATCATCAGATAGCGTGCTAGAAGATAAATGCACCGGCTCCACACCAGTCACTATGTTGTTCTATGCACTTGCAGTATCGGTACGTGGAATCCTAACAAGCTCTTTTCTCTCTCGGATGAAAAAAAGGAGATTCATAACAACGTTGCGGATCATGCCGTTTCACTCATGCACGCTTTCCAAAATATAATTAATAAGACTTTGATAGCAACTATCTAAACTTCGTAAGATTTCTGAATCTGATTACTTTAAACTCTCGCGTTTCACATGCGCACGCATTCGTGCATATGATCGTGAATTCGAGGGAGTTGGAATAACAGAAGATGGGAACATGGAAGAAAGGAATGGGAATTGTCTTTTGAGCGAGAACGAAAATTTTGACCCAAGTACGACATGTTTCAAGTAAACAAGAGGGAAGAAAACAATGTTGATGGAAGAAACCTGAACGTCCTGGTTGTCCTCTGAATACAGGAAGTGGAAATGAGAGGAGGTGGATGTTGGAGGATCCTGCGTTCACTCCACGAGGACGAAGACATGGGAAAGGAAGATATTGAGCAAATCACATTGGAGCTTGAAGACCATTTTCATTGAAGCCCTATAGTTTTCTTCCGATCACTTTGTTTATGTCAGCAGTTGGGGGTTCTCATCTAGAAGGGAATGGTCGTTGAGCGAGGTGCACATTCATCTCGAAAGTAGCATCGTCTTTAGTTGACACTTGAAAGAGAGGAGCAAGGAGTCTACTCTCGGTTCTCAGTCGTGTTAGATGAGGATCAAATCATCGGCGATCTCGTCACTGATGTGCAAGTAAATGATCCAGTACATGAAATTGAAGCAGATGAAGCAGACCGGGAAAGCGATCCTGGAATATTTGTCGATGTTACTCGGGTTGAGAATGCACAATTGGTTGAGGGTAGAGGTTAAACCGTGATGAGCCGTTCCTAGGATAGAATGAGTATTGCAGGCCTCCAGGTCCCCTTCCACGGTCTCCCCGATCCCTTCGGTCTCCCCGATTCCTTCGGTCTCCCCGATTCCTTCGGTCTCCCCGATCCCTTCGGGGAGCTGGCTTCCATCCCCAAGTCCGGAACTGGGGGTTCCTTGCCTCATGGTCTCTAGTGGTGTTCCCATAACCACCCCGGGGTGCCCGGGGGGTCCTCCCATCATCATTTCCTTCGTCCGACCTTCGTTCACGGTGTTCTCCGGTGTCCCGCCCTTCGTGTGCATCTTCGGGTCTTTGATCTCATATCTCGCTTCCTGCAAGAGCATTTCACCATACGAATGAGTTCTGTCTCTCAGGCTGACTCCAGTTCTCAACGGCACTATTTACGTCGCCGGGGTTGGGTATTCGCGACTGTGCCGTCGAACTGTGCTTAAACTACAGGATACTTGAAACTAATCATCAAAGCTGTGTTGATACTTTAACTTCAAGTCCAAGTGATCCAGAGTAGTCCAAAAGGACACAATGTCGCGAGACACCCAGATTGACTCAACTTCAGTCGAATAGTCTTGGAGTGCTCCAAATTGACCCAGATTGGCCCAAAAAGATTCAAATTGAGTCTGTTCTGGAGTTACTCAAGTTGATCCAAATCGACTCAGAGTGGCTCAATTTTACCCACTTATTCGCTGCAGGTTTCATAACGTGTCTAAAACTCATTAAGCACCGACGACATGGGAAAAACCGACGGAGATGAGTCCTCTCTGTTTCCCATGGGATTAACAGGCTACAATAAGCAATTCTATTTCCCCCGACCGAACCCACGAATAATAATGAACTGTCTCCTCCCGACACTAGAGGAAAGAAAAATAAAATTCCCGAGCCTGGCTTCAGTCACTGATGCGTGAACGCAAGTCTTCCCTGAGAATGGGCATGGAATGGGGTTTTCTTTGCTCCAGCCATGAAATCCAGCGTAGCTGACGTAGGAAATTCGAAACTCCTTCTTTCGCTCAACCAGCTGAATGACCAGTATTGATTCTAGGTCCTCTATAGCCTACTGTAATAAATGTCCGCAACTCTTGGGTACAGAACAGATTAAGAATCGTCTTAATCTGTTCTCATTCTCAAAAGTGGCAGGAAGTTGGATGTCGAGGCTTAACTCTTAAACAGTGGGGGGATGGGGGGATGAAGTATTGGACACTTTTTCTAACTCCATTCTGCATCTACTAAGCTTCTTTATCAATAGGAAAATAATACTTCCGTCACAAATTCCAATCTATTGGACTGAGCACTAATTGAGCATTGAGTGAGCATTAAGTACTCAATGATCGACTAGGGAAAATGGAATATGGTCACCTGGAAGTTAATTGAAAGTGTGCTTAGTTTTATATTGTTTCTCGGAAAAAGGTAATTTGGCGCAAGAGGTTAAGAATCACCTGCTGATAGATTCCCTCCGCATGTTAATAAAATTGTGGAAAAGATTCCGTTGAACGAACAGACTGTGCCATTCCTTCGAGACTTACTCGGACTTCATTTTTCCTCATCTGACGATGATACGAGTTTGCTATTACGCTAGATCACTAGTTTGAGGATGAAGTGATCAGGTATCGGTAGGTAAAAAGAAATTGCTGTCTCATCTTATACTCGGACTTGTCAATGTTTCAAAGTTTTCTACTCTCTAGAAATCAGGATAACTGTGATGGATAACTGTGATGTACCTGCCTACTGTTTGGGATTTAAAAAGCATTATTGAAACAGCATAACAATTCCAAGGAATTGTTGTCACTTATTCTAAGAACCTCATCCTAAACATGACTTGGCTTCAGCACAGTCAACTGCGTGCTAAATTCAGAAACTGCCTGCCTCAGGGAAGCCAGTGGCGTAGCTACCGAATGTGCAGGCGATGCGACTGCACCGGGGCCCACGGACCAGAGGGGCCCAGACCGTCGAACTACGAAGAGGAGGGGGCGTTAGTTGGGAGCCCCTTGGCATCGGGACGAGGGGAGAGCCAGCAGCCGAAAAGGAAGGTCGAAAGGAATCAAAGGAATTGAACGCGACACTGCACAAAGACATCTCGCAACTGCGACGCCGCTTCGTGTGGTTAAATGAAGTGGTGGCCACTTCCAATAAAATTCACCCTGGGCCGGATTAAGGGGGGAGGGGCCAAAGGGGGCTGTTGCCCCGGACCCCACTTTTCCAGGGGGCCCTCGAAGGAAATTAAACACGTTAAGTATTTGCGTAAAGTAGCAGAAGGGGGGGGGGGGGGGGGGGGAAAGACCAAGAATCCACTTGCATCACAACTTCTTGATCCGGCCCAGCGTTCACCCTTTCACTGGTGGCGGATCCAGGAGAGAAGGGGGGGGGGGGGGGCTGGGACTGCCCCCTCCTCTGGCCAAGTTCACAGTCTATTTTTTATTATTTAGAAATGACATAAATTAATGTTTATTAGCTCCTGTGAAATAGATATTCAGGGTTTTTACCCCAGACAAAAAAATGAAAAAGGCGATAGGGCGGAGGGTGGTGGTAGATGAGGCGGGGCGGGGGGAAGGCTGGGAACTAGGAAATAGGTCCTGTTTCCATATGAAACATTTTTGTATCCGCCACTGCCTTCCACACAGACTTCAGCTATCGACGACGATTTATATGCTGCCAGAGAAAATCTAGCAAAAATATATGACTCCCTCGTAATTCAATAGTAAGAAATTGGAGTGGGCCCCGTTTAATTCCTTGCACCAGGGCCCACGCCAACCACGCTACGCCACTAAGGGAAACATAAGCTCTGAAGTTTTATAAGTAAAAATGAAGGAAACATGATCACCAAACTAATCTTAGGGTCAAACTAACGAAAGTATTCACGTTTTACAAAAATACTCGCGTCAATGACTCTGTTCTATCATAATATGAACTTCTTGTGATGATAGCGTCAAGATGGATCTAAATGTCAATGGAATGGATGTAGCTTCCACTTCTTTCTCGTGATTGCATACGTATATGTAGTGTATGTGACAGAGTGAATAGTATGGCGGTCAGTGGTTGTTGAAGAGTGAAGTTCGTGGAGTCGCCTCTAGGGAGTGGTAATACCTGCTTTTGAATATTTTGTTTCAATGCTCCTTATTTTATGGCTGAGAGAACTTACCCCTTATGTTTGATGTCTTTATTGATCAGACTCTAATTCCAATGGGAAATTTGTTTTCATTGCATACGTTTTGAAGCATTATATTTCAATGGGCCCATCATGAAGGGTGAATTCGGTCAAAGGAACATTTGTCCAGATTAATTAATTACAGCGGCAGAGAAAAGCATATTTGTTATATACCTATTATGAGACTTAGAGAAGTCTGCAGACTCTCCATCTGTCAAACTTACTTTCGGTGGTTATTTTGGAGCACGTTCTAGTTATGGGGAAAATCAATGGAAACAAGGCCACTCCTAAGTATTATGAGCTCACTGGCCACGTATAACTTTGAAAGAAGGGGATGCAACCTTACGAAATGACCTAAGGATAGTGCTGAGGGTGTAAATGAAAGCAGGCTTCAATGTTACTCTTCATTCTTAAACACTGTACGACACTTCTCTGTTGAATGGAGGAGCATACACATCGACGATCGCACTGGAGCAAATAATTCGATGTTTCAAAGCGTTAGAAAGCAATCGTTATTTTCCATCTTACAGTCCTTCAATTGCTACTTTTGTGGGCAAGTGCCGATTTTGCACATTTTTTTTACCACTCATTGGCTGTCAAATCCTTTCCATATTTTCGGTCCTGTTCCGGAAACGTGTATTTTTTAATTGATATTTCATAATAATATGCAAGACATACTAAAAAAAAACCTATTTTACCTGTTACTTTCCCGGTACAAGAGGAGTCCTTCAGTACTTGCTAATATATTAAGCTTGGTTTGATACCTCTTTTGTAGGGTGAACTATTAATAGACCCCGAATGTGACTGTTAAGTTACTGCGCAGATGATATCCCTTTCCATACTCCCATCGCTTATCATCTAGAATGCGAAAAATCAATTTGACTCATTGCCTGCATGCGTTGAGTGGTGCCACTGGCTTGTTTGGGGGTCCATTCGGGGGCCATGACAGGGTGCCCATGGGTGGCCTCAGGTGGAGCATGGCTCGGTGCACCTTCGCTCCACTGTGCCATGCTCGCCTTTTTTTGCTCCGCCAACTTCTGCATGGCCAGCATCCGAGTCTTCCTCATCTGGATCTTCTTCCCCATGTACCCCACCGTCGCGTATTCTATATAAGGTTACACCCATGCCATCCACTCACGTATGCTGTGTCGTAAATACACTGACAAGTGCGATCCAAGACGCAATGAACCAGAAATACTCAAGAAATTCCGTCTCTCGGAATCCTTGAAGCATGTCTCGATGAATATTTATGATGAAACTAGAAGAAAAAAGTCAAAGAGAGGATAATAAAAAGATGGAATGGATAAGTTGAGAAGTTTCTCCTGCCCCATGTGGAGGCGAAAGAAAGAAGAAAGAGATGGAAGGAGTGGAGGGGAAAAGGGAGAGATGGATCTTCTCCAATATGTTATTGTTCGTTTTTCACTTGACCGAACCCTGGAAAAATCTACAGCATCTGCAGCCTCGAGACATGCTCGTGTTTATACGGGGCTTTTAGAAAGTCATACACGGACCCTTCTGTACCCTCATTACTCCATATACAACCTTACTCGGTACGCGCTAATCAATACTTTCAACCCCTTCAGAAAGACTCAAGGCTAGACCTGGCCTCTCCCATTATCACGTGCGACTTTCTGGAAGCCCCATACGGTACTCAGGTTATAAGTGAGCAAGGAGCGAGCAACCGGGTGCCTCTTACCAAGGAGAGCGGCAAAGACCATAATGAAGCAAGCACCGAGGTACACGTCAATGCATTTGGTATAGGATACTTTTGGAAGCGTAGCATTGGTGAATGACATCAGTGTGGTCATTGTGAGCACCGTGGTAATGCCCAAGACCACTCTTGCTGCCGAAGCTTTACGGTTGAGCCAGAAGGAGACCCAGGAAATGACCACGAGGAGACCGCTTGGGATGTAGATCTGGATCAAATAGTAGCCCATGCTTCGTACGAATTGGATCTCGCAAGCCAGCCGCGAGTAGTTCCCTGTCGGTCCAAGAATAATATATTCCCATGCATCATCCTACTGCCGAACTCCCTTTTAAACACCTTCCGGTGCAAGTAATCATGTAGCATTCTCCAATTTTCTGTACAAAGTATCTCGTTTTTGAGTTCCTTGCATCTTCACTGACACGGTCGGCAGATACACCATCTGACAAATAACAAAGCCCAACGATTTACTTTGTCTAATGAATTTCAAGTGATGATAGCTTGTGCCGGACGTGATGAACGGTTCGAAGCGTGGCACTGTGTGAGTTCACCAATCAATTGGATTCATCAATCTATTCAGTGAATAGATTGATTAATGTGAAACCCTGAAAATTCATGCAGGTTGTCCATGTGAGGATGAAGAGCAGAGAACCCGAACGAGAACAACAAAATCTACTCAACAAAATATGGAAGAGATTCGGAAAATTGTGAATTTCATGCGCTAGCTTTCTCTCAAACTACACACAGTCACGCTGATTAAATTGTCTAAAATTATATATGCATGCATGTATACATAGTATATAGGGAACAAGTGTGGAATGGCATGCAGAGCGAGAGGATGACGAGAGTATGTGGATATGAATTGGGCGTGGATTTCGACCTGTTTTTCGACCAAGGTGTGCATATGTTCCTATGATACTTTTGATTTCTATCTACTTTGAAGACCCCTACATGGGTATTTCTCGTAACTGGCATGCGTATAGTGGGTAACTTTCACTACGGTACGTACTTTGTTATCCGTCTTGCTCACTCACCTCCTTGGCGAGAGACAGAAGTGAAACGAAGAGGAAAGAGGGAGGCAGGAGAGAGAGAGAGCGAGAGAAAAAAAAGGAAGAAATTCTTGATAGTTTTTGTTGTTGTTGTAACATGGCCCTTACCCAGGAGCGCAGCGAAGACCATGACAAAGCACGTGCCCAAATAAACATCGATGGACTTGACATAAGAGATTTTGGGGAGAGCAGCATTGGTCGAAGACATGAGGGTAGTCATGATGAGGATGGTAGTAACGCCGAGGGCCACCCGCGCAGGTGAGGCACTGCGATGCAGCCAGAACGACACCCAAGATATCACGTCTATCAAACTGGATGGTGTGTAATCTAGATGAGGTAGAAACCCAGCAAGCGAACGAACTGGATCTCGCACACCAGCCTGGCATATGCTCCTTGCACTCACGCATACAACCAGCCCACAGGCACGAATTAATATCGGCACGGCAATTTTTTTTTTTTCATATTCACCACAACGCCCATCGTTACCCTATCTTCACTGAAAAAAGGAGGATCGACTCTAAAAGTTAGATCTGATTGAATGCATTTCACTGCATCGCTTTCCGTCACCAAGAATGTGGTGGGGACTGAGAAAAGGAGTGAAGAGACAGGAGACGCTTATTATGCAAGGACACGGCATCCTTGGAAGATCCTCAGATATCCACGCCCAAGGCATAGATGCTGATGAGAACGAAAAGCATGAAAATGACGATGAGGAAAAAAATGGGGACGGGGACTTTCTTTAGTCAGGCAGGAAATTCGACCGCGCAAGACATGCAACCATACAACGAAATATTCATGCGGAAATATCCGAGCAGATTGGGAAGGAGTAAGGGAGAAATAGGAAAACTGAAGGAAAGATCGAAAGGAAGGCCGGAAAAGGGAAAAAGACAGAGAAAGACAAGACATGCATCCCTTGCCCGTTATGATCTGGACCGAGAGAGAGTGGGAGGAAGCGCTCATCTCATATCCTTCTTTCCTCGTTAGAGGTTTTTCTTCTACTTCCATTTCTTTATTTATGAGCTAGATAGTTCTCCCAACGTGGATTTCCTTGAAGAGGAAGAGGGGGACACTCACACGAAAGAAGGGTGAAGAGATAAGAGAGGGGAAAGATCATGCATCCATAATGCATTTCACCTGAAGACAGACGGGCGAGTTTTTTCCCCATGCCTTCATTTTTAATACATAGTATACCTGAAGAGAGGGAGACTTCCTTGGATTTTGGACCTTGGCCTATACCCAAGGACTTTGAACTGGGGTAGGGAGACATCATTGGACGCTACGACGGATTTCAAGCTTGACATCCACCTGTACCTGATTTCTTTCGTCGTGTAACCGACTATAAAGACACAAGACAGAGAGACCCCCGCAACAGTGGGTGAAAGAGAAAGTCGTAGGAGAGATGGACAGGTATGTTAATAGATAGATAGATGTTGGGAGATGAAATGGTCAAGCCAAGATCAAAAGGTTCCTTCCGGCATCCCAGAGGGTGCATTTGCGTGCTGACCTCACAAGACGAGAGACTTTCAGTCAATCGATGGAATTGATTGAGAATCTCTATCATGTGGGCCACTGAGACAAGCTAGAGAGTGGGTTGCGAGTAGTGGGAGAAGTATAAGCCTTAAAGACAGAATACAGGTATACCTGAAGAGAGGGAGAAATCCTTGGACTTTTGCCTATACCCAAGGACTTTGAACTGGGATAGGGAGACATCATAGGACACTCCGACCGAACGAATGCCTGACATCCACGTGTACCTGATGTCTTTCGCCGTGTGACCGACTATAAAGACACAAGACAGAGAAACCCCGCTAAGGTCGTAGAAGAGATGGACAGGTACATAATATACGTAAATAAATAGATGGATGGATAGGTTGAGAGATGAAATGGTCAAGCCAGGGCCAAAAAGTTCCTTCCGGCATCCCAGAGGGTGCATTTGCGTGCTGACCTCACAAGACGAGAGACTTTCAGTCAATCGCTGGGATTGATTGAGAATCTCTTTCATGTGGGCCACCGAGGCAAGCTAGTGAGTGGGTGGCGCATAGTGGGAGAAGTATAAGCCTTAAAGACAGAAGACAGGTATACAGTATACAGTAGTGTCAGCGGAGTCAGTCTCATACTGCATGGAGTCTTTCCAGGCCTGTGGATAAATGGATTTCCCGTTTTCTTTGTCTGTAGCCTAGAACTTGGAATTCTGCTCCTGCCAAGGGGCCTTCCATTTGCATTGTCAGCGGAGTCAGTCTCATACTGCATGGAGTCTTTCCAGGCCTATGGATAAATGGATTTCCCGTTTTCTTTGTCTGTAGCCTAGAACTTGGAATTCTGCTCCTGCCAAGGGGCCTTCCATTTGCACGGATTTTGGGCCTGTGTACCACGTGTACTGAATGTCCTGCACTGTGTAGCCAACTGAAGAGATACAAGTCCATTGTCACACTGGAAATATTGGAATTCTGCTCCTGCCAAGGGGCCTTCCATTTGCACGGATTTTGGGCCTGTGTACCACGTGTACTGAATGTCCTGCACTGTGTAGCCAACTGAAGAAATACAAGTCCATTGTCACACTGGAAATAGTCAACTCATGGTGACCCACAACATGAAGGATTTCTTCATAACGAGAATTTAATATTGAGTGCATGGCAGTAAATTCTTTTTGTTACGTAATGTTCGTGAAGGACTGTAAACAGTAGAATAGTGAATGTGTTCTGCTCTGTATGAATGAATTCCTCAAACCCACTACAGCGCCACTGAGACAAGAAAAGGGAAAGAGCTTTTTAAAAAAAATTGGAATCATTTACTGTACCAGGATCAATGTCCTTTCAAGAGGGCCCAATTACTGTGCATTAAATTTACTTCTACAAATTTCGATTCGTGTTTACACAAACTGGGCTTATGTTTACGTGATGCCTGCAGATCAAGGGTGAAAGACTCACAGCTTTCAATCTCAATGCTACAGAGTTGTCGATCCATTGGGAAGAATCGGAGGTCCATCGGACACCCAGCCGTGATTGTCAGCCTGAGAAGAAAGAAGGAAGGAAGTTCAGAAATATAGTTTCTTCTCTTTCATCACCTCACTCCCTCTCTCAATAGACTCCCGTTAAGGGTATCTCTCGAGGGAGGAAGAAAGTGAGACTTTTCCCCCATTCAGGGAGATTGGGTCGTAAGTCCCTCGAGGTACACAAGTTTTTCCCCACCGGATCCAATTGCTTTCCGTACCTGATACTCCGATAGATGCTGCCGTTGTTGGAGATACGGAGGAATTCGTTGGAAGTGGTGGCCGTGTGAAGATAGCTCTGTTTTTCGTTCGCAAAGAAGGTATCTGGAACCCAGATCCGATTGATGTATTCCACGCCGACGGTGAGGACATCCAGGTCCGGTCTATTTCTCGATGTCCTGAAGTTGGGATCGTCCAGGAATCTCGTGAAGCTCAGCCGAGGATCGTGCCAGAATTGACGAAAGTAGAAGTCCAAGGTGAAGTCCTACGGCAACATAAGTAAATACCCGACGTTTCCATCAGACTGCAATTGCCATGAGAAAGATTATGGAAAATTTTCAATATAAACGAGGTTGCAGGAATCTCTGACGTCAACTCCCAAAATTCTCGGCTCATGAGGTTTCTTTCTGCTCTATAGCACCGTTTCGAAATTAAATCCTGTGTATCGCTCGATCGCCTTTGTCAAGAATTTCTGATGGATGGGACCTGCCATAGTCTTTATGGTGTTGAAGAATTGCATCGGACAGCCAATTGTCTCCCCGTGATTTGATTGCGCACATCTCCTTGTATGCAGAGTGCGGCAAACATACCCAGATATAATGCACGAGGCCAAGCATTGTCCACGGCATCCACTGAGACCCCTACTCATCAAACTGATTAAAATCCTTTTAATCAGAATAATTGACACTACCCAGAACCGTGATAAAATGACAGGCAGGACGAGACCTGCGATATCTTTCCCTCTTTTTTTTTCTCTATGACGCATAGAAATATGCATCGAAAGAGGACAGGCCTGCAGGGGAATGACGTCAGCGAGGCAATCAATTCGGATGTCATCAGAAACCCCCTCGAGTGTGACATCTTCAAATACACTCCAGCTCCGCCCTGGAAATTTGCATCACTTCACTTTTCATTCGATTAACGCTTCCCTTCACCACACCTCCCCTTTAGCTTTTCTCCACTGCAGTGCTCTAATTTATGCCGAGCTTTTATCCTGCTTTTCCTGCTGCAACCTTTTCACACGGGAGGACACGAAATAGACTTACGATATTCATGCTGAAGGGCATCCCTGAATCATGCAGATCAAACAGAGTCATGCCACAGAACTACGTCATGTCTTTTCTCGAGGCTTCCTGTCGTCGATGACTCGAGTAAATACCGAATTCGAAATTCCGAAACGTAAATGCTTATAATGCATTTGCATCGGTCGGGGAAGCTTCGAGGGAACGAAAGATTAAGGCGCCAGGGAAAGATAGAGAAAAAAGGAGAAAATATAGAAGGGAATTAAAAAGATCTATGTACCATTTGGACCTCGGAAACTTGGGAGATACTCAGAACGAACATGGTGACTCCAACTTCCACAGGCACACCTGTATCAGGGAGAGAAACGAATCATAGCTCGAACGGCATGCATTATCCGAAACTTAAAGCGCCCACTACCTCGTCGTTCCCCCCTATGGAATGGACAGACGAAATGAAGACAGAAAAAAAGGAATGTCTACGAAGAAAAGAACAAATAGAGAGAAATCGTGTGCTATGTGACATGANAAAAAGGAATGTCTACGAAGAAAAGAACAAATAGAGAGAAATCGTGTGCTATGTGACATGATGGAATGTCTGCCATGCATGTCCAGTTTTGGGTCCCGGGGTGCCCACATCTTCCCGACAAGATTTATTATCATAATGAAGGTTCCTTTTGTTTTTGTTTTGTTTCTTCTCTAGTTCTCGAGAACGTCTTGGAGAGAGACAGATGAAGGCATCCTTCTTGGGACACAAAACAAGGCAGGCCGAGTGTGGGGCGAAAAACGCAAGCAGGAGCTTAGAATTTTAAGCGGAGAGTCTTGTCTGCTTGAGTTTTTCGGGTTAGCATGGGATGCAGCGTATAGTCTACTCATGTGGGGATGCAAGATTAGGTGTCGTGGATGTGTACCAACCATTTGGACCTCAGACAGGGAGCTTATGCTCAGCACAAACATTGTCACTCCCACTTCGACTGGAATACCTGCAATATTATACACTGTTAGTGAAGGATCATACCCTAAGTCATACTGTATACGTGCATGATGTCTGCCCAAGCAGCATGTTCACGTAAACAAGATATCAATTTTTTGCAAACGATGTAAATTTCTTGCGATTGCCATGAAAATAACAGTACGTTTACGTAAAATTTACGTTCCTATATTTACGTCACCAAAGGGTATGTGTATTTTACATCAACTAGACGTCACTCCATCTTACGTGAAGTACATGATATCAAGTTTATGAAAAATTAACACCTCACCATCCATATGAAACTTTAGCTGACCATCGTGTGAATGCAGTACCAAGATTCCTCACTAGATGGAACCCTTGTTCCCTGCATCATACAATTACTATTAAGTACTGGTTTTCCTGATATAGCACCAGGTTTTATAACCATCCTTCTATTTTTTATTATGCAATCCATGAATATATATATGGAAAACATGAAATTATAATATATTTTTTATAATATATTACTCAGGGAATCATTTAATGCTGAAGTTAAGCTTTTTATTACAGTAGTGCATGGGATTAGGGATTCACCTCTGTGATACGTAAACGGTGAAATAAAATTAACGTAAATATTACTTGCAATTGACATTCCCGTTTGCATTCCAAACAGCATGTTTACATTTATTTTACGTAAGATTTATGTTAATTTTCCCCTTGGAATTCATGCGTATTTAAAGGGTCAACCAGTACCATTGAAGAGAAGTGGTTTACTAAATCTTTTATTCCTTTACGTTTTTAAGAACTCTAGGATGGTTGAACAATTATACAAGTACTCATCCTCACCAGCATTCAAGAGTAAGAAAGTGACCTACTGCTTCCTCCTCCCGTACTGCAACCTCGGGAGCAGGAGTAGGTGTTCATAGGAGCTCTATTCCATTAGAGATAAAGAGAGAATAGTACTTTCGGAGCTGGGATTCAATTCTTCCCTAATCCCGTGCACTGCAGTAATTAAAAATGTAACTTCAGCATTAAATGATTTCCTTAGTCATATATTATAAAAAATATGTATATTAATTTCATGTTTTCCATATATATTTTGATGAGTTGCATAATAAAAAGTAGAAGGATGGTGGGAAAACCTGATACCATATCAGGAACACCAGTACTTAATAGTAATTGTAGGATGCAGGGAACAAGGGTTCAATCTAGTGAGGAATCTTGGTACTGCAACTGCAGATGGTTAGCTTAAAGTTTCATATGGATGGTGTGATGCTAATTTTTCATGAACATGATATCAAGTACTTCACGTCAGATGGAGTGACGTCTAGTTGATGCAAAATACACATACACCTTGGTGACGTAAATATAGGAATGTAAGTTTCATGTAAACGTGATGTCATTTTCATGGCAATCGCAAGCAACTTACATTGGTTGCAAAAAATGGATATAATGTTTACGTGAACATGCTGCTCGGGTGTAAGTTTGCAAAATTTAAAAGGTGACCATGTTAGATCACTTTTGATTGGCACGGGTCACCATGGGTCACTATGCACCAAGGATGGGCCCCATGTAAACACGGATTTTGTGCATCGCGTAGAAACAAGCATCTTTTGACATTTGCTGGGGGATTTTCGAACTTATTGAACACATACTCTTAATTAGGAAGGTTTAAGCTTTGAAGCGTCTAAATTTGAGACAAATCCATTTAGAACTTTAAGAGTTATAGCCTTTCCATTGCTACAGTGGGTTTGGCAGTTCAGTTTGCTTAAAATGCCAGGGAACCATGCCGATGGTGACACAATTCCGTCCGGACCCCAATGTGTTAAGGACAGCATACCTTAATGCTACACTCACACAATTCCTTTGTAGAGCATTATGTGCTCTCATGTTCTCGTGAATTTGTCATAAAATGAAGCAATTGAGCACCAATGTTGAGTTTGGATGTCGTTCAAAAGGCCATAACGTTTGCAAATGGAAGGCCCCTTGGCAGGAGCAGAATTCCAAGTTCTAGGCTACAGACAAAGAAAACGGGAAATCCATTTATCCACAGGTCTCCTTTCTGAGGTACGTCATACTCTGACTGAGGCGACTGTGATGACATATGACATATGGACAGAAGACAGAAATTCCGAACATGAAGAGGGTGATACGCGGTGGGTGAGTGATCGAACGGAGTCACCGCCACATGAAAGAGATTCTCAATCAATCCCATCGATTGACTGAAAGTCTCTCGTCTTGTGAGGTCAGCACGCAAATGCACCCTCTGGGATGCCGGAAGGAACTTTTTGGCCCTGGCTTGACCATTTCATCTCTCAACCTATCCATCCATCTATCTATCTATTTATTTATTTACGTACCTGTCCATCTCTCCTACGACCTTCTCTTTCCCCCGCTGTTGTGGGGGTCTCTCTGTCTTGTGTCTTTATAGTCGGTTACACGGTGAATGACATCAAGTACACGTGGATGTCAGGCTTGAAATCGGTCGGAGTGTCCAACGATGTCTCCCTACCCCAGTTCAAAGTCCTTGGGTATAGGCAAAAGTCCAAGGAAGTCTCCCTCTCTTCAGGTATACTACATATTAAAAATGAAGGAATGGAAAAAAAAACTCACCCGTCTGTCTTCAGGTGAAATGCATTATGGATGCATGATCTTTCCCCTCTCTTATCTTTTCACCCATCCTTCGTGTGTGTCCCGCCTCTTCCTCTTCAAGGAAATCCACGTTGGGAGAACCATCTAGTTCATAAATAAAGAAATGGAAGTAGAAGAAAACCCCCTAACGAGGAAAGAAGGATATGAGATGAGCGCTTTCTCCCTCTCTCTCAGTCCAGATCAAAACGCACAAGGGGTGTCTGTCTTGTCTTCCTCTGTCCTTTTCCCTTTCCTGCCTTCCTTTCGATCTTTCCTTCAGTTTTCCTATTTCTCCCTTTCTCCTTCCCAATCTGCTCGGATATTTCCGCATGAATATTTCGTTGCATGGTTGCATGCCTTGCACGGTCGAGTTTCCTGCCTGACTAAAGAAAGTCCCTGTCCCCATTTTTTCCCTCATCGTCATTTTCATGCTTTTCGTTCTCATCAGCATCAATGCCTTGGGCGTGGATATCTGAGGATCTTCCAAGGATGTCGTGTCCTTGCATAATAAGCGTCTCCTGTCTCTTCATTCACCGTCTCTTCTCTCCTTTTCTCAGACCCCACCACATTCTTGGTGACGGAAAGCGATGCAGTGAAATGAATTCAATCGGATCTAATTTTTAGAGTCGATCCTCCTTTCTTTCAGTGAGGATAGGGTAACGATGGGCGTTGTGATGAATGTGTAAAAAAATTGCCGTGCCGAAATTAATTCGTGCCTGTGGGCTGGTTGTATGCGTGAGTGCAGGAACATATGCCAGGCTGGTGTGCGAGATCCAGTTCGTTCGCTCGCTGGGTTTCTACCTCATCCAGATCTACATACCATCCGGTTTGATAACCGTGATATCTTGGGTGTCGTTCTGGCTGCATCGCAGTGCCTCACCTGCGCGGGTGGCCCTCGGCGTTACTACCGTCCTCACCATGACTACCCTCATGTCTTCGACCAATGCTGCTCTCCCCAAAATCTCTTATGTCAAGTCCATCGATGTTTATTTGGGCACGTGCTTTGTCATGGTCTTCGCTGCGCTCCTGGGTAAGGGCCATGTTACAACAACAAAAAAACTATCAAGGATTTCTTCCTTTTTTTTCTCTCTCGCTCTCTTTCTCTCTCCTGTCTCCCTCTTTCCTCTTCGCTTCACTTCTGTCTCTCGCCAAGGAGGTGAGTGAGCAAGACGGATAACAAAGTACGTACCGTAGTGAAAGTTACCCACTATACGCATGCCAGTTCCGGGAAATACCCATGTAGGGGTCTTCAAAGTAGATAGAAACCAAAAGTACTATAGGAACATATGCACACCTTGGTCGAAAAACAGAAATCCACGCCCGATTCATATCCACATACTCTCGTCATCCTCTCGCTCTGCATGCCATTCCACACTTGTTCCCCATATACTATACTATGTATACATTCATGCATATATCATTGTAGACATTTTAATCAGCGTGACTGTGTGTAGATTGAGAGAAGACTAGCACATGAAATTCACACTTTTCCGAGCCTCTTCCATATTTTGTTGAGTTGATCTCGTTGCTCTCGTTCGGGTTCCCTGCTCTTCATCCTCACATGGACCACCTGCATGAATTTTCAGGGTTTCACATTATCCCAAGTAACACAAGATATGCCAGCAACGTTTCGGAAATGTTGCTTCTATGTGTAAATGTCCAAAACTTCGATGTTGCTCAAACGTTGCAAAAGAACATTGCATTGACGTTGCAAATAGTTACTTATTCATTACACTTACGTTGCAGGAACATTTCAGGACTCATGTTGCTGCAGTGTTGATGGAAAACGTTGCTTCATCGGCACCTAATCTGGACCTATATTGGCATTACCACCCGGAAAAGCGTAGGCTTCACTGGCCCTGAACTAGACCGATATTCTGCCAATATTGAATTATTTTTTCCATCATTTTGTACCATATACTTTATCTCTTCACCCAGACGTTCCCATCAACAGGACGAAGCCTGTACTGGTATAGCCCCTGTCCATCCATAAAACAGTATCTGTATCATCTATAGGCAGGAGCCATAGTACATTTCTGGAGATGTGCTAGATATGGCACATTTCAAGTAAAGGCTCCCCCACAATGTTCCTTAAAGTTTCCGCGAATTCAGATCTTCTTTTCCTCGTCTAGTTCTCAGGATGAGGGAATGAAGGATTGAGATCACTGACTCTGCCTTTGTTCTTAATCTAATGCAGGATGTAATGTGTTCTTTTTGGTAATATGAGCTTGTTTTTGATGTGGGCCCCATGAATCTGTAGCGAATATAAGGAAAACAAGTGATTTAGTGTCCGTGTTCATTGATTCCGATAATGAGACAATGCGAGACATATGGCAAAGTACTAAACATCCCAATGCGGGCCAATTCCAGGGAAAAGGAGAAGGGCACTTTTGTTTACTCTTCGAAAAGCGAGACCTACGCCTCCATCTCGTGGCAAGGAGGACAACTTTACAATTCCCTAAGACTTACCTTAAGATTCCCTAAGTCCATGTCGTATCAGAATGTTGTCGCTACGTTGTCAATGTCAAGAGTGTCTACATTCTCTCAATGTTGATAGCAAATGTTGCAATAACATTCGTAGAAGTGTCACAGCAACATTTCAAGTGAAAACGTTGAAGTAATGTTTTATCGATGTCATACATCAACTTGCAACATAGAGCAACATTTCGGAAACGTTTCATCAACATTCTGTGTTACTTGGGTAATCACTCTCTTCACTGGTGAATTCACACAGTGCCACGCTCTAACCGTTCATCACGTCCGGCACAAGTCATCACATTCGGCACAAGCTATCACCACTTGAAATTCATTAGACAAAGTAAATCGTTGGGTTTTGTCGATTGTCAGATGGTGTATCTGCCGACCGTGTCTGTGAAGATGCAAGGAACTCGAAAACGAGATACTTCGTACAGAAAAGTGGAGAATGCTACAAGATTACTTGCACCGGAAGGTGTTTAAAAGGGAGTTCGGCAGTAGGATGATGCATGGGAATATATTATTCTTGGACCGACAGGGAACTACTCGCGGCTGGCTTGCGAGATCCAATTCGTACGAAGCATGGGCTACTATTTGATCCAGATCTACATCCCAAGCGGTCTCATCGTTGTCATTTCCTGGGTCTCCTTCTGGCTCAATCGTAATGCTTCGCCAGCAAGAGTGGTCTTGGGCATTACCACGGTGCTCACAATGACCACACTGATGTCATTCACTAATGCTGCGCTTCCAAAAATATCCTATGCCAAATCCATTGACGTGTACCTCGGTGCTTGCTTCGTTATGGTCTTTGCCGCTCTCCTCGGTAAGAGGCACCCGGTTGCTCGTTCCTTGCTCACTTATCTCCTGAGTACTGTATGGGGCTTCCAGATAGTCGCACGCCGTGATAATGGGAGAGGCCAGGTCTAGCCTTGAGTCTTCCTGAAGGGGTTGAAAGTATTGATTAGCGCATACCGAGTAAGGTTGCATTGAGTACACTGTACAGGGTGGCCGAAAAGTCACCGTACCCCCATCTACCTTTTCATATATTTCATGAATAGAGATCTAAAAATACCCGTTGCACATCCCACAAGACCGCTCAACACAACGGTGCGTGAGCCTGGCGCGAGACGGTGCATGCGCGACCGGCTAGGCGACTTCTGCGACAGGTCAGCAGAATTCAGTTTTGGCGGTAACAATGGCGAACAGCAGTAGCTATACCATTGAGGAGCGCTTAGTGGCGAGTGTGTGGGTGCATGAAAGACACCACACCGGACAGGTGATGGACTAGGTGATGGCAGTTTTCTATGCACGATTTGGAAAGCCACCTCTGCGTAAAGCAACATTATTAGCATGGGAAACACGAGCGTTTTCCTCGGCAGTGTGAAGGACATCCCTTGAAGCGGTCGGCCGATAACCCGAGTAGACACGTGTGCCACTGTTCCTGCCCTGCACATTCACCACCAAAGTCGACACGGACCTGGTCATCACCTGGTCCATCACCTGTCCGGTGTGTTGTCTTTCATGCACCCACACACTCGCCACTAAAGGCTTCTCTTTGGTGTAGTGACTGGTGTCCGCCATGGTTAACCGTCAAAGCTGAATTCTGCCGAGCCGTCGCAGAAGTCGCCTAGTCGGTCGCGCATGCGCCGTTTCGCGCTAGGCCCACGCACCGCTGTGTTGAGCGGGCATGTGAGATGTGCACACGGATATTTTTAGATCTCTATTCACGAAATATATGAAAATGTAGATAGGGGTACGGTGACTTTTCGGCCACCCTGTATATGGAGTAATGAGGGTACAGAAGGGTCCGTGCATGACTTTCTAAAAGCCCTGTATAAACACGAGCATGTCTCGAGGCTGTCTCGATGCTGCAGATTTTTCCAGGGTTCGGTCAAGTGAAAAACGATCAATAACATATTGGAGAAGATCCACCTCTCCCTTTCGCCCTCCACTCCTTCCATCTCTTTCTTCTTTATTTTGCCTCCACATGGGGCAGGAGAAACTTCTCAACTTATCCATTCCATCTTTTTATTATCCTCTCTTCGACTTTTTTCTTCTAGTTTCATCATAAATATTCATCGAGACATGCTTCAAGGATTCCGTGTAGGATGATGCATGGGAATATATTATTCTTGGACCGACAGGGAACTACTCGCGGCTGGCTTGCGAGATCCAATTCGTACGAAGCATGGGCTACTATTTGATCCAGATCTACATCCCAAGCGGTCTCATCGTTGTCATTTCCTGGGTCTCCTTCTGGCTCAATCGTAATGCTTCGCCAGCAAGAGTGGCCTTGGGCATTACCACGGTGCTCACAATGACCACACTGATGTCATCCACCAATGCTGCGCTTCCAAAAATATCCTATGCCAAATCCATTGACGTGTACCTCGGTGCTTGCTTCGTTATGGTCTTTGCCGCCCTCGTCGGTAAGAGGCACCCGGTTGCTCGCTCCTTGCTCACTTATCTCCTGAGTACTGTATGGGGCTTCCAGATAGTCGCACGCCGTGACAATGGCAGAGACCAGGTCTAGCCTTGAGTCTTTCTGAAGGGATTGAAAGCATTGATTAGCGCATACCGAGTAAGGTTGTATTGAGTACACTGCATATGGAGTAATGAGGGTACAGAAGGGTCCGTGCATGACTTTCTAAAAGCCCTGTATAAACACGAGCATGTCTCGAGGCTGCAGATCCTGCAGATTTTTCGAGGGATCGGTCAAGTGAAAAACGATCAATCACATATTGGAGATGATCCATCTCTCCCTTTTCCCCTCCACTCCTTCCTTCTCTTTCTACTTTCAAAACGGAGGTGTACCCCGTCCTCTTTGAAGAGTTGAATAGGTAAGGTAGAAAAATAATAGGAGAGAAGCTGAAAAAAGAAGATCAAAGTAGTATTTATAAGTAGCTCTGTACGAAGTTCCTAAGGCAGAGACGGAATTTCTTGAGTATTTCTGGTTCATTGCGTCTTGGATCGCACTTGTCAGTGCATTTACATCACAGCATACGTGAGTGGATGGCATGGGTGTAAACTTATGTAGAATACGCGACGGTGGGGTACATGGGGAAGAGGATCCAGATGAGGAAGACTCGGATGCTGGCCATGCAGAAGTTGGCGGAGCAAAAAAAGGCGAGCATGGCACATTGGAGCGAAGGTGCACCGAGCCATGCTCCACCTCATGGCACCCATGGGTACCCAGTCATGGACCCCGAATGGACCCCCAAACAAGCCAGTGGCACCACTCGACGCATGCAGGCAGTGAGTCTAATTGATTTTTTGCATTCTAGATGATAAGCGATGGGAGTATGGGAAGGGATATCATCTGCGCAGTAACTTAACAGCCACATTCGGGGTCTATTAACAGTTCACCCTACCAAAGAGGTATCGAACCAAGCTTAGTATATTCGCAGGTACCGAAAGACTCCTCTTGTACCGGGAAAGTAACAGGTAAAATAGGTTTTTTAGTATGTCTTGCATATTATTATGAAATATCAATTAAAAAATACACGTTTCCGGAACAAGACCGAAAATATGGAAAGGATTTGACAGCCAATGAGTGGTAAAAAAAAAGGTGCAAAATCGGCACTTGCCCACAAATGTAGCAATTGAAGGACTGTAAGTTGGAAAATAACGATTGCTTTCTAACGCTTTGAAACATCGAATTATTTGCTCCAGTGCGATCGTCGATGTGTATGCTTCTCCATTCAACAGAGAAGTGTCGTACAGTGTTTAAGAATGAAGAGTAACATTGAAGCCTGCTTTCATTTACACCCTCATCACTATCCTTAGTCATTTCGTAAGGTTGCATCCCCTTCTTTCAAAGTTATACGTGACCTGTGAGCTCATAATACTTAGGAGTGGCCTTGTTTCCAGTGATTTTCCCCATAACTAGAACGTGCTCCAAAATAACCACCGAAAGTAAGTTTGACAGATGGAGAGTCTGCAGACTTCTCTAAGTCTCCTAATAGGTATATAAAAAATTTGCTTTTCTCTGCCGCTGTAATTAATTAATCTGGACAAATGACGTTCCTTTGGCCGGATTTACCCTTCATGATGGGTCCATTGACACATAATGCTCCAAAACATATGCAATGGAAACAAATTTCACATTGGAATTTGAGACTGATCAATAAAGACATCAACCATCTGGGGATACGTTCTCTCAGCTATGAAATAAGGAACATTGGAACAAAACATTCAGTGGCAGATCCACCTGCTAGAAGCGACTCCACGGACTTCACTCTTCTACATCCACAAGCCACCATACAACCATACACCGCGCTCTTCTACATCCACTGGCCGCTCTACGCTTCACTCTGCCACATACACTACCTACTATACGTATGCAATCACGAGAGAGAAGTGGACACTACATCCATTCTATTGAAATTTAGAGCCAACTTGACGTTATCATCATCATAAGAAGTTCATCTTATGATAGAACAGAGTCAATGACGCGAGTATTTTTGTAAAACGTGAATACTTTCGTTAGTTTAACCCTAAGAGTTGTTTAGTGATTATGTTTCCTTCATTTTTCCGTCATAAAACTTCAGAGTTTATGCTTTCCTGAGCCAAGCAGTTTCTGAATTTTGCATGCAATTGACTGCGCTGAAGCCAAATTATGTCCAGGATTAGGTTCTTCGAATTGGTGAAAACAAATTGGTGAAACGAATTGGTGGAAAGTGCGAGTATGAGATGAGACAGCAGTTTATTTTTACCTACCGATACCTGATTACTTCATTCTCAAACTAGTGACCTAGCGTAATAGCAAACTCGTATCATTATCGTCAGATAAGGAAAAATGAGGCCCGAGTAAGTCTCGAAGGAATGGCACAGTCTGTTCGTTCAACGGAATCTTTTCCACAATTTTATTAACATGCGGAGGGAATCTATCAGCAGGTGATTCTTAACCTCTTGCGCCATATTACCTTTTTTCCGAGAAACGATATAAAACTTAGTACAGTTTCAATTAACTTCTTGGTGACCATATTCGGTTTTTCCCAGTCGATCATTGAGTACTCAATGCTCAGTGAGTACTCAGTCCAATATTTTGGAACTTGTGATGGAAGTAAAATTTCTTACCAATAAAGAAACTTAGTAGATGCAGAATGGAGTTAGAAAAAGTGTCCAATACTTCAACCCCCCCCCCCCCTCACCTTCCAAAGGTTAAGCCTCGACGTCCAACTTCCTGCCACTCTTGGGAATGTGATTCCACACGGTTCTTAAATTGTTCTGTACCCAAGAGTTGCGGATATTTATTGCAGTAGGCTATAGAGCAGGACCTAGAATCAATACTGGACATCCAGCTGGTTGAGAGAAGGAAGGAGTTTCGAATTTCCTACGTCAGCTGGGCTGGATTTCATGGCCGGAGCAGAGAAGAAAACTTGCCCATTCCCAGGGAAGACTTGCGTTCACGCATCAGTGACCGAAGCCAATCTTCCAGGCTCGGGAATTTTATTTTGCTTTCCTCTAGTATCGGGAGGAGACAGTTCATCATTATTCATGGGTTCGGTCGGGGGAAATAGGATTGGAGAGAAAGCCTATTGTAGCCTGTTAATCCCATGGGAAACAAAGAGGACTCATCTCCGTCGGTTCTTCCCATCTCGTCAGGGTTCATCTCAAAATAGTTCCGTTTTTCCAGCCTGGAACCCAGCAGTTATTTCTCTGACGTGTACAAAACGCAGGGGAAAGAACAGTACTGAACGAAGAATTTGATCGATTACGTCGATATGGGCAAAATAAATTACCCCATTGTGAGAAAGGATTGATTCATTCTATTGTGAAGAAGTAATAACATCTTCAAGAAGGATGAGACTGTCTGCATAAGGAAAGACCCGGGCCCGACCTGCTGTTTGGCCATGGCCGCTACTATTGTCCATGATCGTTTCCAAGAGCAAGTTTTCATTTCCTCTTTCTCTGGGAAAGTGGGAATGCCATGGTTGGCAAGAGGCCATAGACCCATAGAATGGGGAAGAAAAAGAAAGGGAGAGAGCAGGAGGCCTTGGCCAGTATTGGATATTTGCCCTGTCCAGGACATATAGGGCAAGCAAGCAAGCAAGCAAGCCGAGTCCAATCAGTAAACTCAATTTTCTCCTTTCTTCCCTTGTCTGGGTATTAAGGGAAAAGAGTGGAGGCAAGAGAGGATTGGAGGAGATTCTGTCCACGTCCCTGCCTCCGCCTTCCTCTTCTTCTCTTTGACTGTCAATAGAACACAACACCCGCCTGCCTCCTTTCCGATGCCTTTTTTTGTGGCGCCGTTTCCCATTTTTTCATTCGCATCTTTCCTCCTCCTCCTCCTTCCCTCTCCTTTACCCTATGAGGAATTCTGTAATATGCAGGGTGTAACAAAAGGCCTGGAATCATGGGGCATGGGGAAGCACTTCCTGCTAAGACTGTTTGAAACTAATCCACCAACCTGCATTTATACACCTTGTATTTCGAAGTTAACAGGATTTGAAAATCTGGTTCAAGTGACCTAGAATGGCCCAAAATGATCTAAAGTGGCCCATATTGATCCAAAATTACCCATTAACCCAACCTAATTATCCTAGAAACCCCAGTTTACTCAAATGGACGCGGGGTGACCTAAAGTGACCCAGAGTCTCTCAAGGCGACTCATTAACCCTACGTGAAGAAAGAAAAAACCATTAAAATCTGAAATAGCAAGGAGCCATTCATTTATGCCATGAGGAAGAGTGGACAACTAATTTCAACTTTGTTCCTTTTTCAAGTTCGCTTAGGTGTTTAATGAGTTTTAGACGAGTTTTAGATAAGTGGGTAAGTTTGCGCCACTCTGAGTCGATTTGGATCAACTTGAGTAACTTCAGAATAGACGCAACTTGAATCTTTTGGGTCAATCTGATTCAATTGGGCCAATTTGGGTCAATTTGGAGCACTCTAAGACTATTCGACTAAAGTTGAGTCAATAAGTCAATCTGGGTGTCTCGCGACATTGTGTCCTTTTGGACTACTTTACGTCACTTGGACTTGGCGTTAAAGTATCAACACAGCTTTGATGATTAGTTTCAAGCAGTTTAAGACGGAAATTATTCCCATGCTATTGTCCTATTATTCCTGACTTTTGTTGCACCCTCTGGAATCCTTGAACCAGAAGCTTTCCAGAATACGTTGAGCTGAGAGTGGAAAATGCTATTTGCATATCCCACTCTCAGCCCAATTCATGAAGAGCTCAATTCGTGACGAATGACCAATACCCCGTTGCCTTCACCAGATCATCATGTAAGTAGATGAGGAATCCTCGCTTCTTTTTTTTTTAAGCGCATACAAGGCCGAAAAGATGAAAGAAAGAGGGAAGTGAAGTCTCGACGGGAAAGGCTGAAGGAATCCTGTTCAGAAACGAGAATTGGGGCGTACGTCATAGGTTTTATGAGGGGGCCTCTATACGCACGGTCCCCATGTAATTCTCCGTCTCACGGGGAGGCAATGTAAGTGGTACATATAGGGTCTGGGGCATGTCTAAAGGAGGCTTCCATGATTGGCAGGTCCCATTTCCGGACAATCTCCCTTCGCCCTCCCACAGTTTCCCTTTCTCATTCCCTTCCTCCCTATTTCTACTGGGATATTTCCTCCAGAGAACCCGATATTTCTCCTGGGAAGAACGGTAATCAGTCAATATGGAACATCCGACATTCGATATTCCCAACGAGGAATCCTAATTTGGCTCTGCTCATCTTGGACTTACGTCACCGAGGCTCTGATGTTATATAGGTGGAATTTCAGTCTGTTCAGTCCCGTTATATAACATAAAATGTTGAGCCTCCTGGGAAAGAGGAGGTGCTGACTGAATGCCCAATTGAGAAATGTCGCAGTGCACATCTTTCGATTCAAATCTAAAAAGCTATGTTAGAAAGTTATGGCCGGAATACCAATTAGACTGCCTCTTGAAGTCCTATCATCGAATCATTAACATTTACCATTAACAATGTTAATACAGTAGGATAGATGGTTTTGTTTGGTTTGGTTCGGTTTCACTGCATTTCACTTGTTTGGTTTCGCTAAGCTAAATTTAACTTTTACAAGAAACGACAAGTGGAAAAACCACATGAGGCGTTCAGGCTAATGTGGAGCACATCGCCAAGGACGTTGCATCCCATCAGCATCAGCTTATCCTCAAGCTTTCTGCTCATCTGTGGCAAGGGATTTCCCGTCATTTCTCTCAAATCCTTCTCGAAACACGTCTCATCGATTTTTCAACTGAGAACAATGGGGTGGAAAGGAGAATCTCTCGGTCAGGAAGAAGGCTTGACATGCATTAAGCTCCTGATTTGTCATATTGGGATTGTTAAACTCGAATACATCACGATTCGCGGCCATTCATTTAAACTGAAAAGGTTCTTGGAATTTCGGGGAAGTGACGGTTCTTTTCAATGGGAAACCCTCTTCTCCATAATGTGACTCCTTGATTGCCACTGGACTAGCCATTGAACTTTCCCCATTTTAGACGTGCCATTGGAACTATCATAGTCGTTCAGTCTTCCTATTAAACTCAAAAACAGTTTTTTTTTCCTTTGTCTTGAAAAAAAATTGTATTCTCGCCTTTAATATCAGATTATTGATATACTGTTCGACCAATATTGGTCCAATACTGTGTAACTGGGGCTGGCATGTAGAAGCCATGATAAATATGCATATTGTTCAGCAGATGAAAGGCGAAACCTCAGTAACATGATGATGAGCGATCTGCAAAAGATGAGAATCAATAAGTTTATCTTAACTTTTGCGAATGAAGGCATCAACGACCTAAAATTGAGTGTCCCTTCGCGAAATCCTTTGCTCATCCGTTCCCATACGAAGGAAGAGTTTGCGTAATTAGAGCGGTGAAGGTGAATGAGGCCGCGAAATAATGTGGGCGGGGCTAATTACATCCGTTTCCTGGCTCTTGGTTCAAATTCCAGAACCTCGGTCGTGAGTAATGAAACAGGGAAGGGGCGTGTCGGCTCTTATAACGTGCAGACCGGTTGCAAGACGTGCAATTCGAATTCACCATTAATCGCATGATCATTTACATTTGATCATTTAGAGCCTCTTTGAATAAGAAGGAAGGAAGACGTCATTCCAGAGGGCGATGATCGGTCGGGGGTGGAAGGTTTATGCTCGGTGAGCGTCCTTTGTAGAGCCCTTCTTAGACGATGGACTCGGAAATATTAGGCAAAACAGGGATCGAGAAGAAAATGCATGCAGACATATGATCCGGGCTCGAGTCGGACCGAGAAAAGGAAATTGAGGGCTTCGTCGTCCAGATCCGACGCGAAACGGAAGGACGACGCTCGTTTGCGGCGTCATTTTGGACATCATCAAGTCCCGTCCTCCTTCCCGGCCCTTTCCAGAAAACGAGGCTAGCTACTACCAATGAAGGCGGTAAAAAAAAAAGAAGCTACGTAAAAGGCAGACGCAAGAAAAACTACTCTAGGTACAGAAAGGAAGTGCGAATCGTATTGAAGCTCTCTCCCGTTCGATTCTTAGTCACTTCCATTATAATCGTTCAGTTTCTGACTTTCAGTACTGAATAAATGCTCCTCTATTTGCAGCTGCAAATCAATATGAACCATTCCCCCATGGCGTAGGAGCATTTTGAAGTCTCTTAGTTATGAGGCCATGAGAAGTAGTGTTTCTCGGGAAAGGAAAGAGCTATCCCAAAGGGTAGGCTTGTTTGGATTCGTGCTCGGAGAGTACACATTTCGATTGCCAAAGAGTATTGCGAGAGTTTACGGAGGGCAGTACATACTTGGAAGTCTCATGAAAGTTTCTTTTCCGTAAATCGTTTGATAAAGTTTTCGTGTATATTTTTTACCACGATTCGAGAAGCCATGTTCCTTTCGGTTCGTGGCGTAATACTGGCATCGGTATGACGGGCATCGAGAGTGTGAATGGGAGAATTCAGCTGTTATGAGTAAAGAAGTTGCATAATGTAGTACTTATAAGCAATGAACGAGACGTATTAAAAGAGACTCGAGGTGAACGTGAGAATACTAAAAGCCCTTCATTGAACATTGCGCTAGGGCTAAGTAGCAGCAGCGTATGTGTCGTAGACATCACAGATGTCTACGACACATACCGATATGATAGTTCGACGGCATAGCCGCGAATACCCAACCTCGACGACGTAAACAGTGCCGTTGAAAACTGGAGTCAGCCTGAGAGATAGAACTCATTCGTATGGTGAAATGCTCTTGCAGGAGGTGAGATACAAGATCTTCATTTCTTCAACGTATTACATCATGAATATTCGTTACTTGCTCTGCATAATTTTCTCTGAGCTCCACTTGCACTCTTATGATTTTCGGGAAGTAACTTGTAACGCGATCCCGATTCATCGTCGTCGACGGCATAGCCGCGAATACCCAACCTCGACGACGTAAACAGTGCCGTTGAAAACTGGAGTCAGCCTGAGAGATAGAACTCATTCGTATGGTGAAATGCTCTTGCAGGAGGTGAGATACAAGATCTTCGACGGCATAGCCGCGAATACCCAACCTCGACGACGTAAACAGTGCCGTTGAAAACTGGAGTCAGCCTGAGAGATAGAACTCATTCGTATGGTGAAATGCTCTTGCAGGAGGTGAGATACAAGATCAACGACCCGAAGATGCACACGAAGGGCGGGACATTGGAGAGCACCGTGAACGGAGGCCGAACGAGGGGAATGATGATAGGAGGACCCCCCGGTCACCCCGGGGTGGTCATGGGAGCACCACCGGGGACCATGAGGAGAGGAACCCCCAGTTCCGGACTCGGGGGCGGAGGCCAGCTCCCCGAAGGGATCGGGGAAGCCGTGGAGGGGGACCTGGAGGCCCCCGCGTCCTTCACTCCTCATTCCATCCTAGGAACGGCTCATCACGGGAAAGACCTCAACCGGTTGTGCGGTCTCACCCCGAGTGACATCGACAAATATTCCAGGGTCGTTTTCCCGGTCTGCTTCATCTGCTTCAATCTCATGTACTGGATCATTTACTTGCACATCAGTGACGAGATCGCCGATGATTTGATCCTCATCGAACACGTCTGAGAACCGAGAGTAGGCTCCTTGCTCCTCTCTTTCAAGTGCCAACTAAGGAAGACGATGCTACTTTCGAGATGAAGGTGAACCTCGCTCAACGACCATTCCCTTCTAGATGAGAACCCCCAACTGCTGACGTAAACAAAAACTAGCCTTCTTTTGATATCCCGAAGTTACTTTTACCAGAAGTTCGAGGTTACACTAAACGAGTTATAGAAGGAAAGGGTACAGAAGCAGGAGCACCTCACTTGCGTCCTAGGAGGTTGTAGGTGGACCTCTCATTTCCGCTTCCTGTATACAGAGGACGAACCTCTGGACAATCAGGACGTTCAGGTTTCTTCCATCAACATTGTTTTCTTCCCTCTCGTTTACTTGAAACATGTGATACTTTGGTCAAAATTTTCGTTCTCGCTCAAAGGACGATTCCCATTCCATTCCTCCATGTTCCCATCCTCTGTCGTTCCAACTCCCTCGAATTCTCGATCATATGCGCGAATGCGTGCGCATGTGAAACGTGAGAGTTTAAAGTAATCAGATTCAGAAATCTTACGAAGTTTAGATAGTTGCTATCAAAGTCTTATTAATTATATTTTGGAAAGTGTGCATGAGTGAAACGGCATGATCCGCAACGTTGTTATGAATCACCTTTTTTTTTCATCCAAGAGAGAAAAGAGAGCTTGTTAAGATTCCACGTACCGATACTGCAAATGCATAAAAGAAAATAGTGACTGGTGTGGAGTGGGTGCATTTTTCTTCTAGCACGCGATCTGATGATGCTTATGCTTTGATATTGCTCGTTCCTTTGTCTCTTTCCTTTTCGAATGTAGATGTCACGGAAGGAGCTCTTCCTGGTCCTTGCTGCTGATCTTACTCCGAGCTCGGAGCTCCTAGAGTAGTTTGCTGCAAGGAGAGAAAAATATTTTTATGAGCGTAGTGACGTTATTGAACCGATGAATACGGATGCTTTATTAAGGTGTACCGATATACTCTCTGAACAATGTATACCTCATTCGTCGCCATAACTACTCCCTTGTCGAAAAGGTCCCGTTCGTATGAGGCCTATATCCTTTCTGTATAGTGACGAAAGTCAAGGGGTGGCCCGCAACTAACTGTGGATACTGGTTTGCTATCTCGTGTTCATTGATATCTTTTTTGGAATGTGATGAAGAAAGGAATTCTGACTTTCATCGAGTTGAGTCCTTTATACACGATCCTGCCTGAAGTAAATGCAGGAAAATCTTGCACCGATCAGTTTGTCATCGACTTGAAAGAAGACAATTCTTGAGGAGACGATTTTGAAGGAACGGGCGCGACTGCGAACAAACTTATCGATCACGACGAGGCTGCGACCTGACAGAATGGCCACAGAGGAGCCATGACCTGTGAAAATTTAAAATCCTGTTCGGCTCGAGTGAAAGCATGTCGAACTCGATCTAAAATTCACTGCGTGCACAGAGCCCCGGCACTATACATTATGAAGTGGAATCCGACACCTGGAAAGAGCTCCGCGGTGGATCCTGGAATTAGATTAAGGAGCGAACTCTGATACACTCGGCGCCTCGCAGTCCCGTGCATACAGTGTCCAGATTTCTGCATTGGATTTTCAAGCGTCATTCAATTATTGTTCGTTGTAGCGGAAAATCCCTCTTTGAATAAGGAACACGAAGGAAAGCAAGCGAACCGTGCCTCGCAGTCCCGTGCATACAGTGTCCAGATTTCTGCATTGGATTTTCAAGCGTCATTCAATTATTGTTCGTTGTAGCGGAAAATCCCTCTTTGAATAAGGAACACGAAGGAAAGCAAGCGAACCGCTAACAATGAATTTCAAGAAACCATTCAGATTAATGTAGCCGATATTTAAAGAAAATACAAGGTGGTCCAAAAGTCCCTTACTATTTTTTGGTTGGAGTGGTGGTAGAAAGATAAAACGGGGCACATGGGTTCCCATGCTGTCCTTGGTAACAAAACAATCCAGAAAAAAAATGACATAACAGAACACAACAGCTTTCACGAATCTCCAGGCAATATGTTTTAACGTGGCAAAGGTTTCCGAAACTTATTGACGAGTTGCCTAATGGTGAAATCTGATGGTCCTGCTTCGTGTAATCGACGTTCGAACACCGCAGGGACGTCCGTGCAACTCCGCCCGCTGAGACGTAGGTTACAATCTCGATTCGCTCCTCTGTGGTGAACGTGTTGCTGCGGTCTGGGAACAGCCTCAATTGATAAGCGCGATGAGCTGCGAGCCGCCGCATTATCCCCTATCCCGACTCTCTCACTGCGGAATCGGGAGATGGATCGTGGCAAGTTCTGTAAACAAGGCTGGTATAGGAATCCGTGTACGCCGTTTTATCTTTATGCCACCACTCCTTTCCAAAAATAGTAAGGGACTTTTGGGTTACCCTGCATAAGCGCTAGAGAACGGTCGGGATTAAAAAATATGTAATTGGCCGGCAACATGAGCTGGAAATATGGGTGAACTGATCGGCTTTTCCATTTTTGAGGGGAGCTATATGACGCACTGGAGATCGGACGTGACCGAGTGGCTCATCGCTGGTTTCCAAGGATCAGGATCATGCGGTCGGGCGATTCCCGGCTCCATCACCGGACGTGCGCTCCCCCCTCAACCCTCCCCTTCCCCCCCCCCCAACCCCGAAAGTTATTGCGTACTTTCTGGGTTATTCTCTGTCCGCATGGGAACGAGGACTCATGGAGGACCCTGTCCGGTAAATTCCAGACTGAAGTCTCATCATAATACGTTAGGAGCGCAATAGTACAACAAACAATTCATGCAAGAGATGAGAAAAGCATGGTTTCAAAACAACGAGGGGTTTACAATTGAATTTCGCGATTCTCACTCATGGCTTTAGGTAAGGTACAGAATCAGCATCTTCACTTAAACCCTCGTACCATCCATACTCGGGTACCCAAGCATATAAATAAGATTTATTTTTGCAATATGTAGTTTTTCCTGTACATCTATGTTTTATAACGTTATACTTACACAAATATAGGGCGTTATTTCATCACTTTTCACATGAAACACTTTGGGCTTTTAAAAGAAAAGACTGCCGAAATTCCAGAAATTCAGGTTCACAATAGACAACTTGCATTCTGGTGTTCCAAAAGTACCCCTGGTATGGACTATGCAATTTTGGAGCAGGCCAAGTACGAAAGTTAATGGGGAGTGGCGTGTCCACCATAGGTGGAGGTGGGGCAGATGTTTTGAGGGTGTGGTGGGGTTATCTCCAGGGAGTAAAGGAAAGTTAAAAGAAATAAAGTTGAGACAGCTTTTGCGATCACGTACTCCATCACTGCCGTTTGTCGATCTAGAGAGTGGAAGCAGATTGACATTGAAGATGAAGTCCAAAAATATAAGCACCGTTCATGATATCAGTGCAATGATGTTAGGATAACGAATGGACTCACAACAATAACATGCCATGTTTGTAGTAGAGGATTGAGGGAGGAGAACTTCCCAATTAATTTGAATAAATATTGGTGGTGTTTCACTTTCCACTTGGCAGAATAGCTCACGATTAGATGAATTCCAACTTTAAATGCTGTGATAGCAAAGTGGTCCTACTCTTACTCCCATTAAAACGACCTTTTCAGATCTCAAAGAACGAGATCCTGGCGATGCTACTGCATTTGGTATGAGCGAGGGGTAAGGATGTATTAATGGGGAGGGTTGCCCAGTCTGACAAAAATCCTAGACAAGTCATTGAGGCAGCCCATGGCACGTTTATTGTACTCTACTTGGTCGAACACGCATTATAAAAACATGATCTCATCCAATTCGTACGCATTCACTAGTAGGCTCATGTGCTCCTATCAGGCGCATTGGGCATAATTTGCTCGAAAGTGTGGGTGTGTGTCTGTGTGTGAACGTGTGTATTTGAGGGGGGGGGCCATTGTCGAGCTTCTTCAACCTCCACAACTCCCCTCTCTCTCCCTTTATCCCAAACGCTTGACTTTTGTATATAGATTTCAAGAGTGACTCTCCTTTCGTTTCACTCATGCAAAACCAACTTAGAACATCTTATTGACCGCAATAAGTTACGACTTGAATGTTTGAAGTGGGAAAGGGGAGACAGGAAGTCAAGGTCATCATGTAGGAAAAGGGGAAGGCCATGACGCCTCTGGCCCCCAGGCCCTCGGGTTCCCACCTCAATACCTTCCTCGATTCCATCATCCTGCCCGGAGTCGGTCGTAAACTATCTGGCCAGTCCCAAAGTTATTGATGTAACACCAGACTCAAAATGAAAGCAAGAAATGATGGTGACGAAATCATCCAAACCATCTTGAAGATGGTTTGGTCCAGAAATTCTACTTCAACAGTATCTTACAGAACAGTGATACACCTATCCCAGTCAAAAAGTTATATAATTTCTCCCGTGGATGAAGAAAAGTAAGGCCATTCATTTCGCGTTATTGACGTAACACAGCTTAGACAACAGTTTTCGTTCTCCTGACTCTCTTCCAATTCTGTCTGATTTGGTTTGACCCGGAGCTTCCATATTTTCAAGAAAGAAGGCATAGATCCTCACCTTTCTTCATGCCAAATGAATTTGTTGTTGATAATGAAAAAAATAAATTAGAGGTTTTCCCAGCGTTACTGATATAACAAAATATAAAAAATTACGTTCACGAAGCAAGTGTTAAATTTATCAAAATGGAGTGTTGGCGGAGAAATAAAAAACCATCCTATGTCAGGTGAAAATGTTTTTGCGAATCCTTATTTGGTCTAAGTTTAGTTTCCATACAATGCAGAAAAACTAAGTTTGAAGGAATTCTAGGGAAAAAATTTCTACCCCATTTTTTGTCAAAACTATTCTGGAACTGCCCCTTTGAGTTTTCTCAAAGTTTCTTCAGAATTTCCCTTGGTTTACAGAAGAGGACATGACAGACAAGGACTGAAGGACATGGCAAAGAAGAGCAATGACTTTGAGAAAACTCTCTGGATTGATACTCATTGATTTATCTGCTATACATTCGTAATAAGCTCATGAAGACCATCTGCAAGAGACGACCAGTCCAAAGAATGAATTTAAATGGAAGAGGACAAAGACATGGTCTCGATGACCAGGAAGGACAGAGCTCATTTTCTAACTCTCTCTCTTTCTAATAATTCTCTAACTCTTTTTCAATAAAGATGACGGATGATGAATAAAGATAGATGACGAAGTAGTGGCTGCCCCTTCTGTGACTATCTTTAAGAAGAAACTGGATGCTTTCATGGACAGGCAAAAAGGGGGGGGGGTAAACAAAACAAAAATATTTAGCTTTAAGAGGGTTAGGCCTAACCCAATATTAAGGAACGTTCGACCTCGACACGTGATATCGAAATGGGTGAAATCGCCTCTTGGTATCACTATCTTGAATCTTGAATCTTGAATAATTGCCGATAGTGCTACTGCAGCTCAACAAACTCTGGTAAAACTCTGAAAATTTGTTGGAAACATACTCATATATGTACAGGGAAGGTTTTGCGATAATAACTCCAGGGCGAGTGGAGATATTTTGGTTATAAGTTTTTTTTTTGCCATACACTGTTTATCAGAACGAAGAGAACTTCGTTACAACACTGGTAATCATGGCGAAATGCTCTTGCGACAGTCTTCGCCGTCGCCGTCGAACCACAGCCGATACCGGATAGGCCGTGTGACTCTTCACTTGCGTTCATTCGTCCTGCTCGGTGAAATATCTGCGTTACGCTTAAGGCCACTGTTGGTTTAGGTAGGAGTTATTTGTACTGGACAGCATTCTCTTGCTTCCACGCAATTCCTACAGCATTAGTTGAAGACTTATCATTTATAACGTCCCTGCAACTTCCTCTCGTGCCTGCCGCTTTTTGAGCCCCATTTCCTCAAGGTTCCTTTTATATATATTCAACCCTTGTGTTTCTTAACTGCACAAGAGTCAGCTGAACTCTGGCTTATACAAGCGTGAGACTCAGGGACTCTATCCCCCCCTTCACCGCTCGTCATTCAATTGCCTAAGTGGTGAACTTCCTTATCCTTTGTATACTACTATTTAAAGTGATAAGCAACGTTGACCTTGCTGGTGATCAAGTTGCACACGATAGGTCAACCGAGCGCGAGTAGAGTCACTTGGGATCCCGATTAATTGGGATTCCTATTATATATAATACACACCACCCCCCCCCCCCCCCCCCCCCCCCCCCCCCTTCAACCAAACACATCCAGTTAACCAAGCACGAGTAAAATCACCTATTATATATAGTATGCTCCACCTAACCTAACCTAACCTAACCTGGCCCAACTTAAGGAGAAACACAATATCCCTAGGGGGTACAGTCACCTGGGCAACCCTACACACTGCGTACGATTAACTGTGTCCGATGGGCAACTGTAAGTGGAATAGGCCTACCCAACAGTGTCACTGTGGTTCAGACCCAAGGGTAATATTCCCAGGGTAAAGATCATCATCATCAGCTCTTTCAACTTCCATTTTCTTTTCCCTCTCAAGATTGTTGGTGCCAAGATGTCTCATTTCCTGCAGTTCATTTGGACTGAGACGTTGGTCAAAGAGTGCAGAAACTACCATAACCAGCATCGGGATAATGTAATGGTTGGACTTCAAGAATCTGCCACTGTGAAGCAGAAGTTGTTTGTTCAAAGGTGGTGGCTGCATAAAGGACCATATTGTTGGTCATGGGCTAAAAATCTGCACTATTGGCTTTAGGTGCACATGGATTGGTATTTGATGTATCCCAAGGCCTATTCCACTTACAGTTGCCCATCGGACACAGTTAACAGTATGCAGTGTGTAGGGTTGCCCAGGTGACTGTACCCTCTAGGGATATTGTGTTTCTCCTTAAGTTAGGCCAGGTTAGGTTAGGTTAGGGGAGGGTGGAGCATACTATATATAATAGGAATCCCAATTAATTGGGATTCCAGGTGATTTTACTCGTGCTCGGTTAACTGGATGTGTTTGGTTGACTGTAAGCAGAACAGGCCTAGCCCACTTGCAGTCCTGACTTAGGTTAAGTTAGGTAAGACTCAGTTTGATCCCAATTTCAGTCTGCAGCATTAACTTGAAGCACATTCATGGGTTAAGAGGCGTGAAGAAGTTTTTACATTATGAAATTTACTCACTACATGTGATTCAGTCTGGGATCAATATTTAGTTCCAAGTCTTGTGCTGATCTCTCTTCACTCTGTTGGTTGTTACACCTTATATGTTCCTTTTAACTATTCCTCTTGAGAAGGTTATCTGAAGGCTTTATCTATTGGAAGAATGCATTTCAGGTAATGAGTTCATTTTATGGTTGTCTGCTACTGCATTCTGGGAAGGGGTTCTGTATGCACTCAGCCTCTACTGTCTAATATCCCTAAACTGGCAAGTTTTTACACAGCAGTGGCAGGCTGGTTGAGTAGATTTTTATGCAGCAACTTGCATGTGCAATGGAGCTTCATTCAACTCATTTTATCTCATGGGAAGTAATGTTTCATTGAGTGACAATCCCATATCTTTAAATCTTTAAATGACAATTATACTTGTCATTTGTACTGCGCAAGAGAATGGCCATGGTAAGTATATTCATCATACCTGGTTAACAGGTTAATTCATCAAAAGTCTCTAGGCCTTATTGCATCCAAATTCATCTCCATGTGCAAATTTCTAAACTTAAAAGATGAATTTAATTACAAATTTTCCTTCCTTCATTGGATAACCCTTTTTTTTTATGAGTGGATGGGAATGACCAACAATTGCAAAGGATACAGTCTATTTAACAGAGGGTATTTGTGTTGAAGGTTTTAACAGATAGAGGATGTTCTGCAACTTTGTTTCTTTTTGGGAGAGTTGAGAACTAAAGTTTGCAGAGAAGTACAGAATTTTATGGACAATATAAACTTGCATCTGGGTTCTCCTTGGAAAAGTATTCATAGTATAAATTTGCACTTAATTCTCTACCATTACAGCCAAAAGAATCAGGAAATAAATATATTAGTAGCAGAGTCATGGATGAGATAGTTTCCAAGTAAGACAGTTCCAATAGATATGCTAATATTTTGCTATATATTTAATCCAGAGTTAATTTGCTGTTTTTTATATAGAGATGAAACAGTGTCAAAATTCCCTCCATGTAGGATGCAAAATTCAATCTTCTATGCTAATGGTATGTGGGTATTGGTATGCCATTACTGGTGTGATAATTTATCATTTTCTGCTCATGTTCCTGCAGATGTAAATACAATCAGTTTCTAGAGGGCCTCCTTTCCTGAAAGGAAAGAGACCACTTATGGTCCTGTCCTCTCCATCAGTGTGTCCCACTTTGGTTGTCTGACGATGGTAGATATGAAAAAGATACAGGCTGAGTTCGTTTCGTGGCGAATTTGCATCAAAATCGGCATATTTATTGCAAATTTTGAATATGAAATTTGCTAACAAAGGGGAAGGCATGAGTACCTGTGAGCCCTCCAGGATATGGATCACAATGCGCATGTGCATACGACCCAGGCCTTGGGCACAATGCCATGTCAACAACCATAGCTGTCAGTTCCCTCCCAACCTTTGTGGCAGACGGTTCCAAGCACGCACAACCCTCCATCCTCATTTCATGGGCATCGAGGGTAATTTCCAAACGTAACTGAAATATGATATTTTTCATGGCCAAAGACCAGAAAGAGTTGGCATTTTGTTCAATTAGGTGCCAAAATTCAGGTCTCCTAAAATGAAAGGAGGCCCACTTCTGGACTAGGCTTGCCCATCTTGTTAATGGTGAAAATATGTGATTCCAACACATGCTTTTATGGAGATAGCTTCTCCTCTGGATCTACACCCAGGAAAAAGCCATAGATCTACTTTTTGTATTTCAGCATTCAGACATTGTTATGGGTGAAAATACAGAGAAGTGTTTTGACTTCACTCCAGAAAAAAAAAGATAATGAAATACTTTTTGGGCTTACTAGAGGATATCTGTTGGAATTTAGCAATGCCAACAGCCCCTTTCCCCTCACCACTAAAAACACTTGTATTTCCTTTTAGGTCTCACGAATAGGTTTGTGGAGGAGAGGATCCACCACTTATAATGATCAAAATCAATATGTGGAACTCTTGGTAGCCAAGCCGTTTCTTGGCTACCAAATCTCATTTCCCTGCTAAAATCTCATTTCAGCAGGGACACTATCCTCAGAGATGCATAAAATCTCTAAATGTAGAGGAAATTTATTTTCAATTTATTGTGACCATCATGGCTAAGTCTTCACAGCTTGTTTTATTTTCAGTTTGAACATTTGACCATGTGGTTTCATTCTCATTTTAGATAACATGAATCTCTGAGGAGATCTTAGAGTCTTCCATTTTCAACAAGTTTGTTTTTAATGTCACCATTTGCTCCTTTCTATCCAACAACTTTTTTTTCAAGACTCATGTTGGATACAAATCAATTGTACTTTCATCGATGGTGGCCTCTTGTTGGTGGAATAGCTGCTGCAACTGTATCTGTGGCAGTTGGGACATGGTGGTGGTACCGGGCACCTCCAGCTGGCAAAGCAGTGGAATCCAAGACATTTGACATCAAAGAAACAACATTGAAGGCTCCTTCTGAATGGGTCCCTGTTGCCAAGGTGTCCTCAATTTTCATCTATCCTGTGAAATCCACTCATGCAGTGTCAGTCCAAGAGGCCATCTGCACACCACATGGCCTCAAGAGTGGATCCATTCGAGATAGGTAAGTGAATTGTGGTCTCCTCTGTCCCTTTCCTTATAGATGCTCTATGTTGGAAGAATTGCACTGTTTTTCAATTGAGTCCAACATTTTGTTACTTTAGTCCAACTCACTTGAGGCATGCTGGGTTTTTCCCTGCTGCCACTTTCATAGGCTTGAAAAGTGTATGGGACTTCAGCTATGTTATATGTTAAGCTCAACTGAAAAACATTGCTGAAAACTTCTTGTGAGTGATCTCTCCTTTTGGGTTTCAGAGTGTTCATGGTGATAGATGAGAATCATAAATTTGTTTCGGGAAAGGTTCTGCCTAAATTAGTCCTGGTATCTTCAAAACTGGAAGGTGACACTCTTTATCTCAGCGCACCGGGGCAAGAGTCACTCATAGTGAATTTGAAGGAGGTTGAACAGGAGAATAACATTATCACGTGCAGGTATGTTGAACAGAAAACCTACATTCAGAATTACAATAGAATCCCTGAATGAAGTTGTGAATGGGGAAAGCAACAAAGTAACCATTTGATCTTTCATAGGATGCGTGCAGACGACATTGATGGTCTAGACCTCGGCAATAAAGTTTCAGAATGGCTGACTGCCTTTGCTTGTCCATCTGAAGTTGGAATTGAGTCTCTTCACATTGTCTATCATTATCGAAACCAGAGCACACGAAAGTGGGAGGAGAGTGAGGCATTCCCTCTCCTGAAGGCCTCTGATAATGTAGGATCCTCCCTTGCAGTTCCTCATGACATTGGGGCAAATCAAATTAGGTGTGTGCCATAACACCTTGCTTGACTTTTTAGTCATTCTATGCTGACATGACAGCTGGGATGCTGTTGTCTGAAGGGAGTGTTGAAGACCTCAATTCACGCCTGAAGAGCAACTTGAGTGGAATCTCCGTTGGGAAAGGGGTGACTCCTCTCCACTTCCGACCCAACATTCTGGTGTCTGAATGTGAACCTTATGCTGAAGACCAATGGAAATGGATGAGGATTGGAGAAGTCATCATGAGACAAACTGGACCCTGTTCACGGTAAATACTTGAAGCTAAAGTAGCTTGTGTTTTTGGAGATTCTAAATTACTTATAAGTTCCTACTTCCATTCATATGGGGTTTACATCACTGTAGACCAAGTTAATACACATGTAAATACTGTCAACCTTGCATATATTGGGTGCAGTCAAAACTTCTATGTCAATGGGCATTAAAATTCTTAAATGTGAGATTGATGTTAGGTCACTTCTCCTAATGGGTTTTCAAAATGTCTACACATTGTTGCAGCAAGCTGTAGGAGCTAATATAGGGGTATTTTGAAACCACTGAAAAAATGTGTTTACTCAATGCACACATATCCTTGTGCAGGGCATTATCCCCAGCATGCCTTGGAAAACCTTCCCATCATTCTTGCCAGGTCTTACTCCCAGTGACCTCTGGCTATGCAAGACACTAAAGACTTCAGTGCATATCTATATCTACATTGGGTACTGACATTTTCCAGTGGTTTCAGCAGACCCCTTTGACAGGTTTTAAAGCTTGATGCAGACAAGGGATACTTTGTTCACACTTGTATGTAGACAATGAGAGGATGTATGAGATATATGTTGAAAAGTGATCCATTATTATCCATCTTGGATAAACCTGAGGTATGCTTATGTCCCTCTGATATAAACTTTTTAACTGGACCTAGTAGGATTGCTATAAATGTCATAGTTCTGATGGGGTTTGTTTATGTCTCATGGTTTACAGGTGTGTGTTCACTACTGTTGATCCTGTAACTGCTATCAAGAATCCATCTGGAGAACCATTGAAAACACTTAGGAGGTGAGTTGTCTTCAGAAATCCTTGAGTTTTGGTGTTTTTTCCCATTATCTTACTTGTCTCCTAGTTCTTTAATCCTTTCACTGGTGAGTTTGAAAAAAAAAAATGACAGCTCAAGAATTTCTTGGGGATACCAGTGAAAGGGTTAAAAAGTGGAGCTAAGCAGCAGTAATCATACCTGAGGACAGGTTGTGACTGGATTTTGCCCTATATTCTAGGTATAGGCAAACAAAGGATCCAGCCATACGAGCAGTGAAAAAGGATTCTCCTATGTTTGGAATCAACATCTCCTTTGACACTCAGGGAATCATATGTGTTGGTGATGTCATCTACAGTGGCATAGAATCCTGAAGGCCATACCTCTTCAGTGAAAATTGTAGAGATGGTGCTTCCCCCATTCTTATCATTTCTAAAGTTTGATACAGTATCCATGCCATTCAAGATGAGTTCATCTCCATTTGTTTATATTTCTTCCAATCAGCTAAGCAGGATCTTGGCCTTAATATGTTTAAGTTGAGTTTAGTTTCATATTTTATGCAGTTGTTATTGTATAATCCTTTGTGATGATCACAATCCATTGTTTCAAGAGCTCAGTTGGATATGCAGTGTCATTCCACTTTCTGGTCAAGTGATGATTTGTTGTTATGTTCATTTAGGACAAAGTCTGTTGGCAATATACATATTTTTCAAATGGATTTGTTTATTGAGTGCACTGAAATTCTGACTTTTTCTATTTTGGAAGGGTCCAAAGAGATTCCTTGTTAAAAGGAATTCTCAGGAAGTTTCTGCTTCCCTCTCATTTGTCCTATGTTTATGGTATCTACATTATGTTTAAAAAATAAAAAAATCCTGTTTCTCTTGTATGGTGCTGGTTGGATGTGCAAATTTTAAGGTGAAGTCACTATACCATTGGTTCTTTTATTGCAGATATTTAGCAAGTGACAGCTGTAATACAAATCTGAATTTATCACAACCATGTTAATAGAGAATCCAGATGCTCTGAAGACATGGCTGACAGCTGTGTTAGAGCCAATGTGAGTTTTCAGTTAGGTCTTTCTGAGCCTTGCTCCTAGATGTATCCACTTGTGCATGTGGTGATATCTTTTTGATTTGATTTGTGGCAGGTGTGATGCTGATCCTGGAGCCCTTGCAAAGTATGTGATAGCATTGGTGAAGAAAGACAAGCCTATGGAGCAACTCAAGGAGTCCTGCCTTGATCAACTGGATGTGTTCCTTCAGAAGGGTCAGTCAAATGTCAACTAGAAGGACCATCAATGAGAGCAATAAAATTCAGAGTTTCTGCATATGCTTATATCCTTTATTGCTGGAAATTTAAAACAGAGACAAAAGGATTTGTGGAGCTTCTGTTTGGGGCATTGAGCAGCAAGTCATATCTGCAGGAGGTCGAAGAAGCATCTGGGACTGTTGTTCCTGATTCCACCACCATGATTCCAAGTGTTCCTGCACCGATTACAACTGTTACCCTCACCTCCTCTGACACTTCTATTGCTGCTCCTATTCTTCCAGTGAATACCGCCATTTCAGTTTTGAAGCGTGAGGAAGATCTGGCTCAATCTCGGTTACGCAAGTCAGAGAGTGTAAGTTTCATCACCTTCAAGTTTTCTGGGAGAGAGCAGAGAAGTTAAAGATGAATGTTGTGCATTTCATGCAATAGTTTCACCTCTCAGCATAGAATAGAAGTTCTTGCATGAATCTCTTTAAAAAAAAAGACAGGTTTTCTTTACAGTAGAGACATCCCTTGGCTGTAAATATGGATTGTGATAGTGTACAAGACTACTTCAGAAGGGAATAATGAAGCAGGCCAACTTGTATGCATTTCTAGGAGCTAATTAATTAGTGAGTGGGGAGAATTTAAGCTACAACAACAGCTGAAAAATTTTGTGCCTCATGCCTTCTGTAACTGAACATAATTTGTAGCTAGGCAATATGGACAGGTAATGTGCAGCAGGAATCTGGAATACATGATCCCATGTGTTGCATGTAATACTATAGACCCTGAGCTTAGGCCATAGAACTTGCATGAATTTGTTAAACTCTGGTTTAGTTGGCTGTCTATTATTTGAAAGGGACCCTTGCAGTATAAAAAGTCTCTTCATTCCCTGCATTCATGCCCATTGCTAATAGTCAACTTGCTATTAGCCACTTCAAGACCAAGTGGTGGTTAGAATTTTCTGAAGGCTTTCTTACTCTAACTTTGGAGAAAGTCTGAGAAAGGGCAGGAGTGTACAGATGGATCAGGGCTGATTTTTCCATGTCCATCACTAGGATCGTGAAGAAAGGGAGAGAAGGGGGAAGAGATTTTCAGGTTCACGATCACGGAGTCGAGAACGTGATTCCATTCGTGAAGTTGGGAGGAGAAGGTCACGGAGCAGAGAGAGAGACCGTGACAGAGATCGGGATCGTGACAGGGACCGTGAACGAGACCGCGAACGGGACCGTGAACGGGACAGGAGGAGGAGGGGGATTCATCCACGCCGAGATGATCGAAGGTGAAGACCTTAGTCTGTATTTTGCTGACACTTCCAGTACATTATTCAGTGTTCCAATGTTGATTGGTGAATGTGCAGGGATCGCCGAACCCGATCACGCTCGCCCAGACATGTGCGTTCCATCTCTCCTCGAAGAGGATCAAGTAGATCTCGTTCACGTTCACCTAGAGCTCCAGGTAGGTGCTGACTTTTATCAGATGAAGAGCCTGTTTGCGTTGCTCCTCATGGTGGTCATGATCTTGAAGGTGGAATCATAGACACTGGTCCCAACGACAGTGAGCCCAGGAGGCGTTCACCTTTCAAGGAAGCAACAACTGCCAACTCAAATGAAGTCTCTCTCTTAGGACAACCACCTCGTCGAGACAGATGCAAGGACTATGATGGTAGGACACATTTAATGCTTGCCAATTTACTATTCCTAATTAAATGATGTTTTGTCATTCACTGTATTTTTGTTGTTATTCTTGCAGAGAAGGGTTACTGTATGAGAGGGGACTTGTGTCCATACGATCATGGAGCAGATCCAGTGGTGTTGGAAGATGTATCACTCCCTAGTGTCCTAAATTACCCACCCCCAACAGCAGTCCCACCTGCATCTGTGCCAACTGGACCCACAACTACAGTGATGGCCCCCCTACCCCCCCATGCCACTCATGTTCCCCCCCCACCAGGTGGGTATCCTCTTCCCCCTGGCCCCCCTCCCCCACTAGCCCCTCACCTAATGCATCCTCCCCCCCCCAGAAGGCCCCTTCCTCCAATGGGTAAGAGTCTCACCCTTTTTTTGTTTTTAACTCTGTAATTTTCCAAGTGTTTGGATTTGATGGGCTGGGGGGCACTTGGTGGAAAAATGATACAGTAAATGACATTCTTGTTGACCATTTGCCCCAGTGAGGTATTAAGAGATGTTTTTCTTACAGAACCATATAACCCAGACCATCCAGGCATGGGCTGGCATCCGCCTTTTCGTCCACCACATCGAGGAGGTCGAGGAGGCAGAGGTCCCCGACCAGGATATGCTGCAGGTCAGCTCTAGAACCATTCTAATACAGTAGTGTTGTCATTTATACAATGTTTAAAATATCTGGGCAGTCTTCAAGTTCTGGTTTTGCTTTCTCAACAACAGGAGGATATTCCACTATGCAATCTAGGGAACTCATCAGTGTTCCAACTGTGGATGATGGGAATGTGGGATCTGTTCATGAGAGACCACATGAGGACATTCTTCCAGTAAGTTGTATCTTCAAATTTTTGTGCTGTTGATTCAAATATAAGTGTGGTATCCATTGAAGTTTTTTTGGCTTTGGCCTGTTGAAACTAATGATATTTTTCACCTTGAGGTTGGAGATGCACACATGAGGGAGCCACCAGCCCAGCGAATGAATTTTGATTTCAACCGCTTGGGCCCAAAACGATTCAATCCCAATAACTGCTCTTTGGAAGTGAAGAAAATCCCTCGTGGTCTCAATGATATCAGTCACCTTCATAATCACTTCAAGAAGTTTGGCAAGATTCTGAATATTCAGGTGAAAGATAGTATTTCAGTGAAGTGAATATCTGTTAGTATGAGGACAGGGTTCATGTTACAAGAAGCTCTCTTTTTTTGCAGGTAAATTATGATGGAGATCCTGAAGCAGCTGTGGTGACCTTTTCTGCACATGCTGAGGCTAATGCTGCATATAAGAGCACAGAAGCTGTGCTCAGCAATCGCT